AGATCGCATCACTGTCCGTGCTTAAGACGATTTTGAATATAAAAACGGACTATGAATACCGCCCTATGTATTTAAAGCAAGTTAGCGATCTAGTTATAATATAGATATCTGTGGTTATTACATCGATGTAGTTACTTCGTCGTAAAATAGCGTTTACACGGCATCTAACATCGGTAGTTATAAAGCCTTGTGTCCACGATGCTAGAACTCAATCCGAGATCTCGGTCCGAGTCCTCGAACAATAATATTTATACTTGGCTGAATATAGTTAGCGTTGTAATCGAGTTACGATTCTTTACGATGATTTTCTGATCTATGTTATATTGCCAAGTTGGTTTATAGATATCATCAAGTGATGCACCGCTTGATTTCGAATCTTTTATTTTATTTAGATGGTCCAGATATTGTGATCTTAAATTATTAATTTCTTTTTTGCAATTTCAGTTGTTAGTGGTTGTCCTGTTAATTCTTTGTACTGATTACAGATTATCTGTAAAGCTTGATCTCGTTTCATACGATTATGATAATCAACACTTTTTGTAACATATAAACAAGAATGTTGTTGATATAACATTAATAAAATTTTAACATTTTCCTTATTATCCATTTTTTATTATAAAAGAAGTTTTTTCTGAAAAATCAATTTTATATATTATTATACTTTTCTTGAAAAATAATATGTATATATAGGTTATAATATATTTTTAATGTCTAATTTAATCTGCATTAAACTAATAATTAACTACTTATGTAATCTTATTAATTATTAATCTTATTAATTTATTTTATTTAAGTAATTATATTTCTCTTATTTTTTCAATTCTATAATTACTTACTAAAATATTATTTATATTTTCACAGTATCTCGTATCACTATAAGTATCTTATATTTTGTCTTGACAGATAGTAAAAGAAACTAGTAAAATCTAATAACTCGCAATAACTCGTACCAAAAAATGGGACGCAACGCATTTTTTCGTTTGAGCTTCTTATTCGAGTTTTGCATCCAAATTCAGTGTGTACATGATCCGAGTTCTAGTAACTTTCCCTCAGTCCGAGATCTCGGACCGAGTTCTAGTATCGTGGACACAAGGCTTTAGGAAACAATTTTCTAGGGACTTTGGCCAACATTTTTTACCCTTAAGGCCATCACACACAAAATGACATAACTGCATATACATAGCATAAGACCGTCTCGATCAATGAGCATGCTATGGCCGGTATTCATAGTCCGTTCTTATATTTAAGATTGTCTTAAGCACGGACTTATATTCGCTCTCTTCGTCACACATAGATTGTGTCTGACAAAGAGAGCGAATATAAGTTCGTGCTTAAGACGATCTTGAATATAAGAACGGACTATGGGCGGTATTCATAGTCCGTTCTTATATTCAAAATCGTCTTAAGCACGGACTTATATTCGCTCTCTTCGTCACACATAGATTGTGTCTGACGAAGAGAGCGAATATAAGTTCGTGCTTAAGACGATCTTGAATATAAGAACGGACTATGAATACCGGCCTATGAATACCGCCCTATGTAGATTAATATGACGCTTTTATGCTAGATGTTCATTGGTCGAGACGGTTTTATGCTATGCATATGCAGTTATGTCATTTTGTGTGTGATGGCCTTTAAAGAAGCACTGAAAAATCGATTTGTGGCGGGCACATGGCGCCGGTATTATTTTGCTCTTTCTAACCTTATTTCAAAACCGTAACAAACAAATCGAGTGTTAGTAATTATTTATGTCTTATAAAGCCGTACACTTTCTACGTTTTAGAAAAAAGACTAAAACGTTTAATTCATTGAGATAATTATTAACCTAGAGTTTAAGAAAATGGATCGCACAAGTCTAGGAAGTCCGTTAGGATGGTCGTTGTCTTCTCCTAGAAAACGAATGTCAATCGTTCAATCGTTGAAGAAAAATAGTTCGTAAGTTTTTTGATACATAATAGATTATACAATATATAGTAATTTTTTTTAATATTGTATATATATAAGAACAGCATGTGAATTACGACTTTCAGAAAATTAGCACTTAATAACTTTTATATTACATTTTATTGATGTAAGAAATTAAATTTCTCATTATTGTTATATATAATGTAATTAATTATTACACTACTTTATCTTAAAGTAACAATTGTTAATCTAATTATATTCCATTTTAGTACAACAAGTATGTCTGGTCGTACAAATCAATCTGTGCAAGTTATATGCAGAACACAGAGTCATACAGTAGAAAGTTTTGGCTCTCCGTTGCCAGTTCTAGTTACCGAGGCGCTAACATTTGTAGATCGAAATACAGCTGTCAGTGTTAATATATCCGTTGATGGCTGGGCTTGGCTTGTCTACGGTCGCAAATTGCTTGTATGGCAATGTAAAACTAATATTCATGATCCTAAACAAAGAAGGACCTTCAAAACTCAGTGTCGTGAATTATTACTACCACAAAGTGATTTGGCTCACAAAGCAGATTGTATAGCAGTCTGGGTACCAGCTGGCCAGCAGGTACTTAAAAGCCTTTTATTTTATTCATTTCAAGCTTTGCATCTGCTTCATGTATTTTGAAAGTAAATATTTTTGTAAAAAATATTGTGTATACATAAAAGTCATGTAATTTCTATGTATACATGTATAATTTATGTGACTTATTCATAGGTTCCTAGTTGCATGGCAGTATCGCCAGAAGGAGTGGTACGCTTCTGGGCAAGTGTGGCACATGAGGGATCCTCTGTGGAAACTAGCGCTGAGCTCGCGGGACAAGAAGTGGATTGTCTTATACACGTACCAGGCCACGGATGTATTCTTGCCACAACCACCTGTACAGTAGCGCTCTTACAGCCGCAATTAAGCAACGGAAAGAACAATATTACATGTCAGGTGCTTCGAACGAGCCAGGGATGGCTCGGTGGCATAGGCCGGAGAATGACCTCCCTCATTTTTGGCGCTATACCACAATCGCCCGTCGCGGAAACGAAGCTGGTTAAAATCGTATGTACGGCATTGGAGGAGGGAGGATCGAGAGTTCTCATTCACGCCGGATCTTCCTTGCAATACTGGTTCTTTTCTCACAACGAACAGGAGAAGATGGAGTTTGATGAGGACATCACTCACATCGTTCAGCAGGCGTTCCAGAGAAAGATCTGGGAATCGAGCCCTCAAGACATGTGCACATGGTTCATCGATATGCAAACGTGCGAGGAAGGCATAGTCCTTTTAATGGCGGCCTATTCGGACCTGTCGATTCAAATACAATTCGCGCTTGGATTGCTGCCTTTAGCCGGCACGACGTTGTCGAATGCCTTCAAATGGTTCATACCCATTAAAATCGATCCGCTATTATTTTTTCACAACGACATCGAGTCGACGCTGGTCTCTTATCACTTCGTATTGTGCGGCTGGGAGGCGATCGTGTACAACCGGCACAACGTGCTTGTAGTTAACATCGCTTCCGAGGTCGAGCAGGACAAGATCGACTTGGTGAGAGGCGGCGAGGACAGTATACTCGGCGGCGCTATATGCTCCGCGACTCCGGTGTTGTTCACCAAAAGCGTCGGCCTTGTGTCCATCACGCCGGTGGACTTTGCGGCGCAGGACTTCAACGCGGGATACACGGACACGACCATGAGCATGGACTACACCTACAAGGTGAATCAGACGGCGCAGAACTTCTCCACTCTCATAAGTAACGACGAGCTTCAGGATATGTATTGCAGCTCCGACATGATCATGCAATTGCGCGCCGCGTTTCTTCTGAGCTTGCGGCAGAACAAGACGCAGTGCGACGAGATTCTCTCGCAGCTCTTCCCGCTGCAGGAGGAGCCGGTGATGGACATCGACGCCACTCTCGACACGCTTGCTCTGAAGGTCGCGAAAGACCTGATCGACGATTATCCGGCGAATGATCCGAGATGGGCTCAACACCGGGACCTGTCGATGACCGTGAACGCGGTCACGTCGATGCAGATACCGCATCAGCTGGAGGGGAAGCAGAAAGCGCTGGATCTCTTTGTAATATTCTTGAAGGAACACAATTTGTGGGGCAGGCTCTGCGCGGTCACGTGCCGCGGCACCGTGATGTCGACGTCGCACGTGCTCGGCGAGTATGCCGAGAAGGTGGTCGCGGCGCTGACACTGTACAATCTACAGAGCAGACACGCGGAAATCATAGACGCGATGATAGACGAGACGTTGAATCAGAAGGAGGCCGTCGTGTCCGACGAGCTCGCGGCGCGCGATGTATTCTATCGCGAGGTGAGCACAATACATCTCTTCTTGCCGACTCTGGTGGAGAACGCGTGCGAGGTCACGCAGTCCGAGAGACCGTTGCACCAGGTCGGACAGTATATCATGCAAGTGAACGCCATTTTATTGGCTGTGCTGTACGAGGTGGTCAAGTATCGGCAGTACAGCGCTGAACGATTTGTCCCGGCCAAATTTTCCAACGAGACAACGGAATACCTTCCGTGGACGGCGGCGCCGGGCAAATACGGGCTAAGGAATTGCCTCAGCACGATGCAGAACATCACTGTCAAGCACGGTGTGACGGGAACCAGCGATCCCACTGTTCGAAACGAGCTGTACGAACAACTCGTCAGCCTGATCGATTTGATATTGGACGGAAGGAAGTGTCATCTGGAAAGCATTCGCGGCACGGAGAAGTTCGACGTTCTCTTAAAGCAGTACGAGACGGAGCGCGCTAATCTTATACAGCCGCTGATAAAGGAGGAGCAGTACGACAACGCCGCCATACTGGCCGAGAAGTATTGCGACTTCCCGTCGCTCGTGCAAATTTGCGAGTTGACGAACAACAAGAGCCGGCTCGACGGCTACATAGAAAAGTTCGCGGCGCAAGACTTCGCCGGCTTTCTGTTCTCCTGGTACGTGAAAGACGGACGTCAGGGACAGTTGGTGGAGAGATGCAGGCGCGGCGGCACCGCGGAACTAACCGAGAAGCTGTCGGAACACCCGACTTTGTCCTGGGTGCAAGCGGCGCTGACCGACGACCTGCAGCTCGCCGCCAACACGCTTCACAGCCTGGCGGTGCAAGAATCCGAGCTGGTCACGCGGAAAAAGTCGATGCTCTCGTTATCCAAACTGGCGTTGCTCGCGTCTGACGAGCCGGAGGACAAAGTGGCGGATTGCGTGAAAACCATCGACAGGCAATTGATACTCATAGCTTACCAAGAGGATCTGCCGAATCAAGTGCTCGAATCGTACGGCTACGACACTAAGAAGCTACGAGTGCTCACGCCGAGGGAATTAATTATGTTGTACACGTCGAGCGACAACGTTATAGCTAACGAATATGATTTCAAGAAAGCCCTCGATCTGCTGGACTACATAGAACACGAAGAGGACAAATCGGCATTGAGATTGCAAATCTGGGCACGCGCAGCTCGGCGAAATCAGTGGAACAATGTGGAGAAGAATCCGGAGCAGGAAGTGCAAGAGACATTGTTCTTCAAGTTGATGGACCTTACATATTTTATGGGTAAGAAACATTTATATATTTATGTTCATACAAACTACAAGATCTTTATAAATATATTCAATGATAATATATTCACGTTTATATTTTTGTCGCACAGGTGGAAAGGTTGACAAATTTTTGCCGCACATTGATATGCTTCTGAGAGAACCAGAACTTGGAGAGCTTGCTGCTTCGAGTAACTTCCAGTTTCTTATAAAATTAATATACGAGTATGCTTATCGAAGTTATTAATGTAAAAAGCTATGATATTAATATTTTTATATGCGATAAATAAATGATTGTTGATAGAATGAAATTGTGAAGGAATAGTATTATCACACGCTAGTATTTCTTGTTAAAATTAACATTTACGACTATTTATGTTTACATTCGATATTTGATAAGTCCTTGGAAAAAATATGAAAATACAATTTTTTTCGAGTAAAGTAATTTTTATTTTTTAATACGATTTATCTTTCTCCTCAAAATAGCCATTTGCAGCATCAATTACTTCAGTATTCGAGCCGAATCTCTTTCCACCCAATCATTTTTTCAAGTCTGGAAATAGGAAAAAGTGACAGAGAGCTAAATCTGGAGAAAACGGTGGATGGTCGACTAATTCGGAGCGTAATTTAGCATTAAAATATATTGGATTTATAAAATATGATTTGATATTTTCAAGCGAGTTAGATACAGCTGGTTTGGAGTTGGCATTAAACAATAAGTCCTACAGCATCTCTGTGACATTTTTTAGAAAAATGATAACAATAAATATATACCATAACGTATACATAATATTATACATGAAAAATAATTTTATAGAAGGCAAAATTTATTTTCTACATAAAATTATTCTACTTAAAATTTATTATTAGTTTTTATTAGAAACTCTCTATATGACAATTTTATTTTCATGTAACGAATACTTTGATATTAAAGTGCTATGAGAATTTTAATAAAAGTTTAATAAGACTGCAATTATACTGCTGTAATTTTTGTATTTGTATCAAAGTTTTATACCGACAGGTGATAGAGTTAGGGTGATTATTTCCAACGTTGATTAACTTATTTAATCGACGGTTCAAATTTGACAAAATCGCTAACATGAAGAATGAAATATTGTCATCGAAAAAGAAAAAAATATAAAACTTTTTCTTTCGATGATTATATCTTATTCGTGCTGGCAATTTTGTCAACAAGTTTTAACGAGCGAAAGTTAATCGACGTTGGAAATAATAATCTTTAGCGTGATTATTCATAGCGTTTTTGACAGAACAAATTTAAATCAATCTGGGAGCGATGACGTCACTGGCTTGTTTCCGCCAATAAAAGGCTTGAATTCATAGTAAAATAGTGATTAATTGTTCCGGGATGGATCAAAATTCGTTCAGTCGAAAACGTTATAATTAATATGTAGCGTTAGTATTTTTATTGAGATTTTTATAAATATAAATATATTTACATTATTTTCTCCCTTCTTTACGTATTCTAAATAAAATTATTTTTAACACACGAATGTCAACAATTGTTCACGATTGTCGTAAGAAGTCAGCTCAGTTTGACTTTTTTCCGACAAAAATCTAATGACTTGCCGACAGAAGCTTCCCAACTCGCTGTTTATTGGCAGCCAATCGGCGCGTCCGACAACATTGACAAATGTTAAATGAAACCATACCCTAATCACACATGAAACGGAAGCGTTTGTATGCTTGTCTGTTCTTTCAATCTATTCTTGTGCTTTTTCTATGATAGAGTGTACGAAGGAAAACAATCAGCAAAATGGCAGATCTTCCGGAGAAATCAGCTGTTACACGAAAAAAGAATTTTGTCGAACAAAATATTCTTTGCGTTAAACGTTCTCGTCCAGCAGAACCCAAACAGCGATTCGTCGATACTCGTTTTGGCAAAACGCATGACTTGAAAAATAGCGGATTACTTCCATTTTATGTGCACAAAAAAGTACGACGATTATATTACGAAAAGTTTCTCCTGTCATATTTGTCTGTAGTTTCTAATATTTTTTTTGGTTCGCTGTCTTTATGTACACTTTTCTTCAGAACTATGGAAATTTACCGAGATTTATTGCGATAAAAGCCGACGTGGGCGTAAAAACGGAAATGATTGAACAACGTGATAAAGATAAGACGTCGAAAATATCTTCTTGTCGATATATTGATAAGGAAGAGCGGAAGATGTTGCTAGATGTACGTATAAGCGTCTAATTAGATCTTTGTAATCTCGCAGTCTTCAATTAAGAGTAATCGTATGCATACCCGAAAGCAGGGTATGAAACAAAAGTGGGAGGAAACGATGAAAAAATTTCAACGACTGCCGTTTCTCATCGATACGCTACCGAAGGCGCAAAAGAAAGCGAAGATAGAACGTGAATTGCAACAACTTGAAAAAGATATAGCAATTCTCGAGCAGCATCCGCATGTATATGTTTATGATAATAACAATGCGTGAATTGTTATGAATTATAACGCAAGTATGTCTCGCACAAATTCAAAATTTACGCTAGCAATATATTTGAGCAACTTTTAGGATTATATGTGATATAAAAAATTAACAAGTAATAAATAAAATTTGTAAAGTTTTATAACAAGAGAAATGGAAGAAAGAACTAGCAAATCTGATTGGCTACGGTTATAAAACTTGCATTGATGCATACTTGTAGATCTGCAAGTATTTACCAATCACAGGCGATTTTTACTCAACGATTTTATAACTACTGTTTTTTGAACACAACTTTGTGTTTTTACCAACTCACTGATTTGAATTAATTTATTACATAGGTTTTTTATAATTTGAATCAAAATGATATAAAATGTAGAATAGTTAGACAATATAATAAAAAATGTCACTGAAAATTATAACCTTTGTTTGTAAAAATTTTATTGAAATTTACTAAAAATATTATAAACTATAATAAAGAAAATTTTTTATTTTCTTTCAACTTGGATTTCAAGATGCCAATTCTATTTTTACCACAAAATAAAATATAAACACAGAAGTATAAACCTTGTTGTTCGACAGTAATAGTGAAACCAATGCAATGTTCGTTCGCAACGGACGATAATCGACTGACACGCAGAGCTGCCAGATTGAAGACCCGTGCAACGAGCGACCAACGCACACACAAGCGAGAATCGCGTACGTGGTTGCGCAAAGCGCTCTGCGCAGCTGTGTACACGATTCTCGATTGTGTGTGTGTTCGGTGGCTCGTTGCTCGGGTTTTCAATCTGGCAGCTCTGCTAACACGGGATAAACAGGCAAAACGTCGATACGCTCGCAGCCCCTCTTTACGACGACTGTTTCAGCTCCATTGAGCGCCTGTTCGCTAGAAAATAGTGCTATTTCTGAAGAATTTTTGTAACAGATTCACGAAGCTAATTCAAAATGGTAAGCGAATGCATCGTACAGATACAGTAAATTGATAAAATTTTCCCATTCTCGCAAATCTATGCCATATCCTTCTCATGTTAGCCCGATACTCCTACAAAAATAATTTTGGAACGATATATTTATAAGGCATTCTCTACGTACACAAACAAATCTATCATAGAAATTATTTTGTCTTACAGGGTAACGAAAGCTCGCTGCCTATGGAACTTTGTTCAAACTGTAAGTTTGTCGAGAATATATTGAATCTTATTCGAATATCTCGAAATAACCTAATTTTTTTGTCATATATGAAACATTTTGAGAAGCAACTATCCTGGAATTATTTATCTTCTATACTTTGTGAATATGATTTGTAATATTGTTAAAAATTCATGCAAGTGATGCACAGTATTTATGCGTGATATTGATATTTCTAACACTTTGATATGTCCTAATATATAAATGTTGATGTTCAGTTGATGTAGATGAAATCCGAAGATTGGGGAAAAGATTTCGGAAATTAGATTTGGATAACAGCGGAGCTCTTAGCATTGATGAATTTATGTCCTTACCCGAGTTACAACAGAATCCATTAGTACAACGTGTTATTGATATATTCGATGCAGACGGTAATGGAGAAGTAGATTTTAAAGAATTTATTCATGGTGTTTCTCAATTCAGTGTCAAGGTAATATTACTCATTTTACAAATAGCGATTATTGTATTTTTTCATATACAAATAGTTATATAAATTATTGATTTGTAGGGTGATAAAGAGAGCAAATTGCGCTTTGCATTTAGAATTTATGACATGGATAATGATGGTTATATAAGTAACGGAGAACTTTTCCAAGTACTAAAAATGATGGTAGGCAATAACTTGAAGGACACACAATTACAGCAAATTGTCGATAAAACAATTCTGTTTGCTGACAAAGATGAGGACGGCAGGATTAGCTTCGAAGAATTTTGTTCTGTAAGTAATAAATTATATCTTTTCTGTATAATTGTACAATACATACTTATTATTACACATGCCATAACTATACTTTTTATGGCCATTTTAGGTTGTTGGTAATACAGATATTCATAAGAAAATGGTAGTTGATGTTTAAGTGATCCAAATTTGTGCAAAAGTCTTAATTTACAAAATGTGGTATTTTAATATATATTTGAAATCTATAAACTCTAATAATATATTAACAGATTTATGGGATAGTTCTAACAAAGATCTGTTTAGATTGAACTCACAATTATCGTTCTTAAGTCTTTATCATAACAAATCTATTTAAACAGAAAATTTAAATGACATGCCAGGCGATGTATGGTGCATGAACATTCGATTAACTTGATACAGATTTTGATACGGCATCGAAGGATATGGAATAAATTAAACTATCTTGTATGTTCCTTCAAGAAGTAATTGTCAATGTGATCTTAGACTTTCAACTGGTAATTTAAGTTCAAAGTTACATAACGTCCAATTTTTTCAAAGCTTAGGAAAATGTTAATTTTCTTCAATGCCTGGCAAAAAAATTTTGGACATAGATAATTTTAAGTCATTTCTTCCATTTTAATGATTCTTAGTAAAGAAAGCACGAAAGTAAAATCAAATCTTGCATTATTGATACAATTGTCATACTATAACTTATCATATTTTCTTTATTACTTGTAATTGTTCATATTATCCATAATGACGTTAATATCATAAAAGATTTCATTCAATAACCTTGGCAAGTCTTTAAGGATACTATTATTTTAAACTATTACTCTTTAAGAAAAATTATAAGAAAGCTAGATAATTCAACTGTTCATATACTTATATCATGTTTACGATAAACAATCACGAATTGTGCATTCGGAAGATACATTGGAGCAAATTTTATGGAGCTACAGAAAAGTATTAATTACTGAACTACAGATCTACTTGGTTAACCCTTAAGACTTGTGTATATAAACTGTGTGTTGACATGGGATGTTTGTAATTTTCGAATGTAAGATTTATTTATTTAGATATTTATTTATTGTATTAGTCAAAAAATGATTTATTATCACAGGATATATTAAGATATTTATATGTAATACAAATAAGTTTATTTTATCATTGTTAATTGTTTCTATGTATACTTACATGTTACATGATCTTATCATATGTCTAATTAAAGTTTAAAATTGTAAAATATATTAAAATCTATATTAAGATATATTAAAATCTGTGTAAGTACTGGTATCGCATACATAATTTCCAGTAAATATACAGAATATAGACTTCCTCTCTTGATTTAGTTCAAATATGTTACAGTGATCTATTTTACATATTTATGCAATTTTCTTTTTGCGAAAAAGATTCACAAAAAATTGCAGCCAGTTAGGTGTTTAATGCTTTAACAACGTTATAGCATAATTTTTTTTATATAGATATTTTCGAGAACATATACTGTTTTTTTCTTCTTTCCATTCCTTTGTATTTACATTTATTCTAGTTCAATAAATTAGATTAAAACAAATTGATATTGATATTCACTTAGGGATTGCAAATAATCCAATAACTATTTATGACTACAGCAATGCGTGGCTCGATGGCCAGTGTTTTCATGTCGAATCAAGTAATGATGTTCGAACATAAAAAACATTAAAAAAAGACTTGGTTAATCCGCCATGCACAAGCGGATTTGTATAGTCCACGGATTAAGGAATAGAGGGACTGAGTTAAAACCCTAGTATAGGCGAGAGGGGGTGATAACTAAGGCATGCGGGGGGGGATTGCTTTTCGCCATTGGTTATCAATGGGCGCGTTCAGCAGAACAAATCGCTTGGTAGCAATCGAACATGATTGGCTCTTACTTTTAGAACCAACAAATCAACGTTAAGTGTTGACTAGACGACAATTCAGCAGTTGTTCTGCTGAACGCAGCCATTCTCTTACACAGAGCACATGCATTAAGTTCTATACATACTGGAGCGAGCCTTCCTATCCCGAACAAAGAAAACTGCGTCCGCGATTTAGAAAAGGACACATATAGCAATGTGAGGATTTCTGTCTCTTTTTACGTTATGCTGAAAACATACGCTGGACAAGGAAGACTAGCCTCACGTAAATCTATCTGTCTTTTTCGACCGAGACATCCCCACTCCTGAAAGGCTCGCTCCAGTATGTTATAGAACTCAATGGACACATGCTGTGACATTCGTACATTTGTGTGGTGGTGTCACTGACGAGAAGAGGTGAGAGAGAAAATTTATTTTATTTTTTATCAAAATGGTTAAATGTATTGTGTCAGGATGCTCGATTACAAATTCTGACAAAAAAAGTGACATTCAGAAAGCATTGGAGCAAAATATAAAAATTAGTTTACATAGGTAAGAAACTATATTAAGTTATTACTTACTTAATATATAACTTTAATATAGTTACTTATTTAATATATAACTTTATTCTTGTTTATATGAAAAAATGCTGATACCTCAACTCAAAAAAGTAAAATATAAAGGAAATGAGATTCAAATTATGATATGTATAAATATTTCTTATTGCCAACAGGTTACCAAAAAATGTAAACAGAAGAAAATTGTGGCTCAAAAATATTGGTTTACACGAAGATACAAATTTGAAAAAAACTGCATCAGTCTGTTCTTTACATTTTAAAGAGGAAGATATAAATAGAACTTTAGATAAAATTGTTTTACATGAAAACGCAGTACCTTATGTATGAAATTTGATAATATTTTACTTTGCTTGATATAAACTGTGTATTTCTTTATTGAAAGTTTTTTACTTTTTAGAGCGAAGCCTTTATCTATGACATGCATAAACAGGAGAACATTGAAAATGAACAGAATTGTTTAAATTTATCATTTTCTGTAGATGGTAACCAACTTTCAAATTTAGAAACATCATCAAATGATACTCATTGTGCAAAAAAACTAAATATGGGGAATCAGGAAAACAATCATCAAGAGGAAAATATTTCCATGCAAGTTGATAAACAAACGCTTCTCAATGAATGCACTGGAGAATTAATTTTGAAAGAAGAATATTTACTAGCTGGTTAGTTAGAATTTTTACATAATTATCTAATTTTATTTATAAAATTTTTATTGTAAATTTTGAAAAAGTTGTAAATATACTGTTTTAAGATGAACTTCAAGAACATACTACAGTGCTGGATGAAAAACTTCTCGATAAGTGTATTTCTTCAATAAATTTCTCTGGACATTTCAATTCAACAGTTAGTCGCTCAACATCTGTCAGTCCTCTACATTTTCAAGATGACAAAGTCACTATAAAGTGTTTAAAAGCGTCTTTTAAGGAGTATAAACGGAGAAGTCAACAAATAATAAGAAATCTTAAACGCAAATTAAAACGAAAAAATCTGAAGTAGATTTTGATATAGTTATAGCTTCTTTAAAATCATTATTAAATAAAAGTCATGTACATATCTTAGAATAAATGGATAAGTGTAATAAAGAGTTCTTGAAAAGAATGATTTTAAAACGTGAGACTAAAACTATTAATAGACAATCACGAATTAAAGTCTTTTGCACTAACATTGCATTACTACTTTAATTCAGAAGCTTTAAAATCAATTGAAGAACATTGTGAAGCTGTTGTTCTTTGTTCGGGGCTGTTATATTCTGAATGATGAACGATGAACGATGAAATAAATATAAAGAGTGAAATTGAACGAGTACATTTAAAAGTGTATGATTTTGTGATATGGAAAAATATATTACTGTGATAATTCTAACAAATTAGCTAAACAGGTTCTGGTTTTCACTGTTGTATATGTGAATGTGTCATGGAAAATTCCTTTTGCTTATTTTTTCATCGATTCATTAAAAACTGACAAAAAAATTGCTTATTTTATAAAGTTTAAAATTGTTAGATGCATCTAAATTTAATGTTGTTTCTTTGACGTTTGATGGTGCTTCTATAAATATGTGTATTATGAAAGAATTAACTGGTTTTAATATAGATAAAGATCTCCAAAACAATCATTTTCAGACTTACTTACATCTTGTCACTGAAGAAATTAGTGCGAAATTGCTTAGGAGATATTCGCATTATGACTTTAGAAGATGATGAAGTATCATGGAAATACTTGAAACAACTTCACACTATTCTAGAGAAAGAGGGACTTTAGCTAATAAATTAAGTAGGAAACATTTAAATTATCAAAAACAGAAAATGAAAGTTTGCCTTGTATCTCAATTATTTAGTAATAGCGTTGCTAATTTATTGACAGTTTTGAAAAACATGAATATTTGTTCATTTAAAGATAACAATACTATCCGTTTTATAAATTTATTTAATGATCTTTTTGATATCATGAATTCTAAAAAGAACTTACATTTTAAAAAGCTATTACAATATTTTGATCAAAAATTATGTAAAAATGTAAACCAACAAAGTCATAATGAGATTATTATTAACAAATTACTCGAGTGCGAAAAGTTCATTTTTAATTTGAAAACAAAAGATTCAATAAAACTTATTTTTATTATAAAAAAAGACTGGGTTTATTAATTTTTTAATTTGCATTTACAGTCTTCAACAATTATGTCATGAATTATGTGAGAATAGCATAAGCATCAATAAATGCTTATGTTAAAAATATGGAAAAAACATTCTTTTTTTTATTCGAAATTTTATTGTGGTAATTTTTCTGATTTTATTAGTCTGTTTTTATTTGACATTTTATTAGTTTCTTTTTATTTAAGAGAGCGAGATGTGTTTTGAGATTGAAGATTGAAATTTGACCAATCAAGATAAGGAACTTTTAGTTCCTTTTTTTTTGATTGGATAAATTTCAATGCGTATCTGATACAAGCTTAAGGCTAATATTCAACGCTATTGGAATTTTTCACAATCAAGTCATGAAGCATCGATCATGTAATTTTTTCCTAGGAGCGCAAACGTAGAAAGTAAAAATTTCTACGTAAATTCGACAATTCTATTCGTCGAATTCACATGAAACTTTTCACGTTTCCGCTCCTAGAGAAAAATTACATGATCGATGCCCAGTTTCAAGTTACCAGTCGGAGATTCTGATGCCTCAGTTGGCACTACTGCGATTCTCCCTCCTGTCATATCTCTCATTGTTGCTGTTTTGTGGCCGGTGTGTTTGCTAGTTTATCTTTTTGGTTCTTGGTTGTTTCTCTCACGTAGACATTTCTCTTAAAATTTATCAAATTTTACGCGACAAATCTCATTAACAGATAATCAAGACAGTCGAGAGGAAGCAGGGAAGACTTGTCAGAGGAGGTTGTCGGCGGCGGCGGGGAAGATGGAAAATTTAGAGGAGGTGTTGCAAGCGCTCGATGAGTTCCAGAAAATGCGGCCGACGGTAATCCCGCAGGAGTTGGAGGATTATCTGTGCTGGGTCGCAAAGACGGGCGATCCCGTCTACCAGTGGCCGTTGATCAAAACGCTCTTCAGGGAGAAGCTCACGCGCGTAATGACAGATTTTTACGAGAGTTGTCCCTCTCTGGAGCTGGCGACCTGTCCCAACGTGGAGCACTTCAACTACGACACGATGAAGAGCAGCCTTCTGGAGAGATTAGAGTCATTTGCGAATGCGCCCTTCACAGTCCAGCGGATATGTGAATTACTGACGGCGCCGCGCAAAGAGTACAATCGCGTGGATAAATTTATGCGCGCCATCGAGAAAAACATTCTGGTGGTTTCGACACGTGAACCCGGGCCTATCGCCAGACGCGGCGAGACCGGCGACGGTATGGTGAACGGGTCCGTCGAGGAGGACACAGCCTCGATCATGCAGCAGCAACCACCGCCACCGCCTCTCTCATTGTCACCGTCGCCGTCATCGTCGCTATCACCGTCATCGTCGCCGTCGCCATCGTCATCGCCATCGGCATCACCGTCGCCATCACCTTCGCTCTCACCCTCGTCCTCACCTTTGCCCTCACCCTCATCGTCGTCATTACCTTCACTGTCACAGCCACCGTTGCAGTCGTCACCGCAATCACCGTCGCAACTACCACAGACAACGCAACCGGCGCAGACAGGTCAGCCAAACTCTCAGGATGTGGAGATGGAATACTGGGAAAAGGACTGCACCTCAACCGTCACCATCAGTGTGCACACCGTTGTGGAAAACGAAACGCCTCCTCTCTTGCACAGCGGCGTCATACCGGCCGCTGGCTCACCACTGGCTAAAAGCATATTCACCGCGAGTGAGGCGACGCGGGAGAAGCTGGAGCAGGTCGCCTCTAGAACGGAAATCGCGACGTCCAATTATGTCCCCGCTACTTCAGACTTTTCTACTATATCGAATTTAACCTCGCAGGAGTCGGCGCCGACCGCCGTTCCAGTTGTGCAAAGTCTACCGGCTGCTGAAACGGTCTCCGACGATTCGCCTGTCGGCAGCGCCGACGTGGCGGAGGCGATCATGAACGAGGACACGACTTCTCAACCTAATCTAGATTTGGAGAGCGAAGAGATCGAACCGGCCGCAACGGCGACCACCACGACGACAACGATGACGACAACGGCGACAACAACAGCGACATCGTCGACGACGTCGACGTCGGCGGCAACGACGACGGTGACCGTTGTAGCGACGGTGATACCGTTGACGACGGACACCACGCAGAAGCTGCAGGCCGCTTTCCAAGCGAAGCACTTTGAGCCCGACGATAATAAGTGTCTGGAAAAATCCAACGAGAAGACACCGGTCTCGTCAACGGTGGAAGAAGGAATTGAACATTCCATGAAGAATGAAGAAACGACATTGGCAAAATCGAAGCCCGAGTGTGCGGATTCCAACGAGATGTCTCACAATGAAAGTAGGTTAACTGAAAATTTGCTAGAAACGGATATCGAGATGAGATCCGACGCTCTGGCGAATGACGCGGAAAGTGTCAGCGAGGAGAGAACTGCGAATAAACCGGAAGAGGAGGGAACATCGGTCCTCGAAGATGTGGATGAAGAACATTTACGGGTGGAGGAAGATGCGAAAGGAGAAACGGCGGTATTCGTCGAGTCGCAATCCACGGAGAAGGACAGTGCAGTCACGCCTGACGAATGCGCGGTTATTGTATCCAGCGGCGAGGCATTGTACAAAGCGGAGAAGGCCGAGACGCATCCCACGGAAACGTCGACGACAATTTCCTTGAAGGAGAGTTTTACACATGACCAATCTATAAGCCAAAAAGCTGAAATTATAGAAGTAATGGATAAGGTTCTAGAGGCCGTTCCTAAGATAGCGTCTTCTAACGGCAACGACGACGGACAGGAAATACAGGACACTGAATTCAACACGGATAATTTGAAAATGATGGAAATCATCAACGAGAAGGTGAGTCTTACCGAGTCCGCGATGTCGGATCCGATAAGCGTTATAGAGAAACCGAAAGAAGTGACATCCGTGATTGAGAAACTCGAGCTCGTCTCGCCTACTGTCGAAATGACAGAGAGCTCTGATAACGTTGGCTATCAGTCGCCAAAGGACGATAATTCAGCAGGCATCCAGGACGACGGTTTAGCGAATGCGCAAGGTAATAAAATGGCGTGCGTCATTAAAGAGAATCAGTCTTCTGTAATAGAGAGTGTGGCGTGTAGAAGAGAATCGATGGAGTTGATGGAAGTTGACGACGAGGAATCACCGTCGACATTTCAGCAAGACGAACCGATGGAGCAGGAAACAATGGACGATTTGTCGAAGAGTTAATCCCGGCTCATTTAATCGGTTGCATGTCTCTTTCCCTCTGTTTGATATCTATTTTTAAGGGTAGATGTCGCGAAATAAGAGCTAATACGTAAGATATCTTCTTGCGCGTAAGATGCTTGGTAACTGACGAACACAATTAAGCATATAATTTTTAATAGCCGTTAATTATGAATTGGAATTCAAATTATGAGCAAAAATTCTCGATATTGTTTGCTGCTTTATTTATTTCGGATACTTCGCCGTTTAGACTGAGCTCCGGTATTTACTTACAAAGAGATTTATCGAAGTGAATTTTCTAACTCTTGGAAGAAGAAAAAAAGAACACTGCCTATTCCCAAACGATTGTAATACTGAAACTGCTTGTATAGAAATCAGATTTGGTAAACATTTCAATATCGATTTATACAAATACCATAGATATCTGCTTAGAATAAGGTTGTGCCTACAACTATTGTGTATATTGCGTATTGGACAAGTATACCTGATGCATAAATTTTTAAATGATGACGTATAAGCACTACAGATTCGAGTATCTCGCGGTCGAGGTAAACGAAACAGCGTTCGTTCACGATCACAGCCTTATACTAAGTTGCGGTTGAATCTCGAAACGCTTCACGGCTACTTCTGAGAGAACGTTCGAGATTGATCGAAGATATTATTCCTTGCTAAAACTTTCTACAGTACGTAACGGCATTTGGAAATGTGTTAGAACGATGTTACTTCGAGCAGCTGTCTACTAAAACTCCGCTACAGCTAATTCAAAATTGATATTCCAGACGTATCGCTTGAAATCAGTATGTCAATTTCATTTCGTTTCTGTTATTATATCAGTGGGCAAAAATAGTTTCCTTCTTTTTTTACCGAGTGTTTACTGCATATGAAATGTAAAGAAAAAAAGAGACTAGTAACAAACTATATTTTATGAATTACACTAGCTCTTTGTATTTTCGTTCCTCCTATTTTGATATTGTATTTTCAGTAAATGAAGAATGTAGTTAAGTCGCAGATGCGTGCGAATCGGAACAGAAATCTTCAAGTGGCCCAAAACTGATAAAATCGATTCACCGCGGGGGCGCCCAGGATCCCGTTAAGATCGTTTCGAACCGCTTACAGTTTATGTATCGGCACAAGATGTTTTCGAGCGGATTCGGATTCGATGCGGATCCACCGAACCGTTATTAGAAGAATATCGTAGGAATGGGATATTAATTTAAGAATTAATATAGATTAATGATACATGATACACGCGAATGTGGATATCTGAAAAAAAATAGCTGTACATTATTTTATAAGAAAATATATAAAAATGATTGTCAATCCATCTTTTATTTGTGATGTGTGCGCCTGACTCTACGTTGCTCCTAAAGGCAAATAGGAAATAACGGGAATGAGCGACCAAGAAACGTTGTATCGCCGCCGCAGTGTTACAATTTACGCCCAAGTACCTCGTCGCTCGCGACTATTTTCACATATAAATATGTTACATATTCTATAAATGTACAACGCTATAAATATTGTGTTCATCAATATTACAGAATTTTCAGATATTTGACAGACAAATTATACACATATGTACATGTACATATAATACATCGACATGATGTGAATCATGAAAGAATATATTATAACAAATCGATAAATAATTATTTACTTAATGATTCTACGTAAACGTTTGAAGCTTCACCAACTTCTTGAAATGACCTTGCTTCAAGTTCATCAGCTCGACGTAAGTGCCGGTCTCCGCCACTTGTCCCCCGTCGAGCACCACGATCTTGTCGGCATTCTTGATCGTGCTAAGCCTGTGAGCTATCGTTATCACCGTCCTTCCGTGTATGGCACGTTCCACAGCCTCCTGAACGAAGTGTTCGCTTTCCGCGTCTAAGGCACTAGTCGCTTCATCCAGTATTAAAATTTTTGGCTTCTGGAGAGAGAGAGAGAGAGAGAGAGAAAATATTATATTTCATTTTAATAATTATACAAGTGTACTTTATTTGCGTGATTTACCTTTATCAACGCCCTGGCGATGGCGACTCTCTGGCGTTGCCCGCCGCTGAGCGCGATGCCCCTTTCTCCGACTATCGTGTCCAATCCATCCGTCATCTTCCGCGTGAATTCCAGCACGTGCGCCAATCGCGCGGCCTCTTCCACGTCGGAACTCGTCGCAGACTCCGCGCCGTACAATATGTTCTCCCTTATCGAGCCGCTGAAGAGAACCGGCTCTTGGGACACGACGCTGATTTGGGATTTCACCCACGCGGGATCGAGCAGACGAAGATCGTGATCGTCCAGGAGGATCGACCCCTCCGTAGGATCGTACAGTCTCAGTAAAAGCGACGCCACGGTGGACTTGCCGGAACCCGAGCAACCGACGACGGCCGTCATGGAGCACTCTTCTACATTCAAGTTGAAATCTTTCAATACGGACACCGCTTCTCGCGTTGGATAAGCGAAGGAAACGTTTCGGAACGTCACGTTGCCCGACAAGTCCTTTTCCAGAACTTGCCCGTCCTGAATGGGAATAAGCGGTTGCCGATCGATCAACTCGAACAGACGAGCGTTCGCGCCCAGAGCTTTATTCAACTCACTGTACGCCGAAGACAATCCGTTCAGCGATATCCCCACGTATCCCGCGTACAACAAAAAGGCACTCAAGCTTCCGATTGTTATCTCCGAGTTCGAAACCATGAATATCCCGTTGTAAAGAACGGAAAGTATGATGGCGTTCCCGGAGAGACCGGTCATGCCGAAAAACATGCCTCTGTACAAGCTCTCCTTGTAGCACAATCTGAGAACATCCTGCAGCTTGGCGCTGTATCTGTCAATCTCGCGTCTCTCTTGCGCGAACGCTTTAACGGTCCTTATATTGCTAATTCTCTCCTCCGCGGTTGTGTTGAGCACCGCGAGACTGTTCTGCAGATCCTTGGAGACTCGCTTCAAAACGCGTCCCCAAATGACAGCGACGATTACAACAGGCGGCACTATCGCTAAGCCCAGCAAAGCGAGCGTCGGTGATACATAAAACATCATGGATACTCCTGTAACAGCCATGATAGCGGAGCGTAAGCCATCCGATACGTTGGACGTGACAGCGGAGCTGATAAGTTGCGTGTCTCCTGAAAAAAAAGATGGAATAAAGAAAAGATTTCTACACGCAGAACATAATTGACACGTGCTTCAGTCAAAGAAACAAGATATACCGCTCAATCTCCCGACTAGCTCTCCTGTACTTTCTTTATCAAACATCGCCGTTTCCTGCCGAAGTATGGCAGCGTACGCCTGCTTCCTCAGAGACTGCGTGATTCTGTGCCCCGCTGTTGACATCAGGTAAACTCTGCTGAAATTGCTCACACCACCTATGAGAAATACTACGAACAGAGCGAGCGTTAGTCGATTAAGGTTCTCTCTCATGTTTGCTTCTTCCGCGGTGTTGACGATGTCTATCACTTTTCCAAAGCAGAACGGCACGGCCATCGTCACGCTGGATGACACGAGCAAAAATGCGATGGCCTTCATGAGGGTCCATTTTTCAGGCGCGGCTAGTAGAATCAAATTCTTCAACTCGGACCTCGTTTTCGCTTTACGGAACGTACGACGGACGCTGAAGCGTCGGATCCAATAGTATTGGCCGTCTGATACCTCAATCCGATGAACATACGACTTTTCCTTGATAGCCTGACAGTGTGCTTTATCAGGCACGAGTATTTCTGCGATACAGCGATACCGCGACATCCTGATTTTCGCAGGACACCGGGATTAGACAATAGTTTCCAGAGGAGCGTCATGTTACATATGATCTGACATGTAACATGTGAATTTGGTGAATAAATAATTGTCAAAAGTAATCTCGCGAGTTAGCCTTCGGTCCGGGCTAACCTAAAAATGCAATCGTACAACATTTTATTATCACATTGTAAATACGCATACTTGAAACAAGTACGATTAATTTTCTACGAGATCCTCCAGCAATGGATTCAGTTTCCGAAGATTAATTAATCGTTCCATCAGCTAATTAGGTTGCAATAATTTTTAACGGCACACGCACATGTGCTAATTGAGTGCGAGAAATTCATCGTGACTCCGTATTTATGTGAAGGTCTTGCCATGTCATAAAAAGTCAATTTTTTATATAATATTCTAAGAACTCTTCGCGTTTTTTTTTTGAGTGTTATATAATGTCTTGTTTTGTCTTTCTCTCTCTCGATTATCATTAATTTATTAATAAACTAAACAAAATTCAAATTCAATAATGAAATCTGATTTGTTGGCTCCAAGAGTAATTGCCAATGACATTCATTTGTCACTCAGCGTAAAATAAAACAGCAGGACAAACTGATTTCTTAAACATTTCTACTCTATTTTTATAAGTTTATAATCTAATGTATATTTTTGAATTTGTAAAAATATATGTTCTTAATGAAATAAAAGCTTTATGAAAAAAAGCTACATTGTTTACAGAATTTTAAATGACATTATTTGAAAATACTATTGAATAATTTTCGATAAATTAAACTTGTAAATATAAGTAAAAAATGATGATAAGAAAAAATCATTTTGGTACTAAAACATGAGTCATCTACAGAGCGCGACAGAACTATTCCGCCATGCAAATTTTTAGTTTCTATCGGAGTCACTCTATTCAGATGGCGACGGAGTACAAATATCGATCGCTCCACACGAGGCTTCTTACTGCGAATCGTTCTTTCTTATCACAAGTGTCGCAGACATGGCGCTTAACCTCACCGTCAAGGTGCATCCCGTAGTTTTATTTCAAGTTGTAGACGCTTATGAGCGACGGAAAGCAGAATCGTTACGCGTTATCGGCACCTTGTTGGGTAACGTATGCGCACGTTGAATAGTAATACGAAGTATCTTTCATCTCGACTCTGAATTCTGATCATGTGTGAAGCATGGCCGGTGATTTTTGACAGCCGCGAATGAATATGCGTTATCTTCTCCAGGCACCGTGGAGAAAGGAATTGTCGAGGTGACCAATTGCTTTTGCGTGCCGCACAAGGAGTCCGAAAGCCAGGTAGAAGCCGATCTCACCTACGGAATGGACTTGTACGATTTAAATCACCGAGTGAACGGACAGGAGAACATTGTCGGCTGGTGGGCTACCGGCAATGAGGTTCTTTTAATTTTTCCTCGTACACTCTTTAGATATCGTAAACTTGAATGGAAATGTGTTTCAGGTCACTACACACTCGTCTGTTATTCACGAATACTATGTGCGAGAATGTAATAATCCAGTGCATTTGACTGTTGACACTACGTTAGCAAATACGACGAGAATGGCGATCAAAGCTTATGTATGTGTTCCGCTAGGCGTGCCTAATGGCAAGCAAGGATCCATGTTTACGCCGGTTAAAGTTCAGGTTTGTCAAAATATCAATATATCATTCGACAAGGCATGTGACATAAACCTTTTTATGGAACATATCGATGTATTTCATCTTTATACAAGACTGTATTTAACGTTAAATGTTTTTCCAGATTAAATGCTACGAGCCAGAGGTTGTAGGACTGCAATTATGTTCCAAGACGCAGTTGCAGTCTCATATACAAGCTGGAAAATCTACCGGAGGGACGGAACCCATGATGGATCTTGCGCAAGTCTCAGAAGCTTGTTCTAAACTTTCCATAATGCTGGAACAAGTACTCGCATATGTCGATGATGTTTTAGCAGGAAAACAACTGCCAGACAATCAAGTAAATATGGATGAATATTTGTTTTTGTAAAGTGATTTTTATTGCCTAGCCAATATACAAAATGATTTTGTTATTTCAGGTGGGTAGAGCTCTTTTGGATATGGTACACTCTGTTCCAAAAATGACAAGCGATCAATTTGATGAAATGTTCACTAGCAATGTCAAGGATCTTTTAATGGTTGTTGCGTTGTCACAATTGATAAAAACACAGTTGCAACTTAATGAGAAACTGACTCTACTTACGACTTTATGATAAAAAATGTCTGATTATTGCATAAATTCATAATATGAAAGAAAAAATCAATAACAATTCATTTTTCATATATTTTGACTTCTTGATGCCTATTGTTGGGATTATAATGTATGAAATTATGAACAATGCGCGAATTATAAAAAATAACTTGCGTAGAATGATTACAATTGTATACAAATTACTTTTAACTACAATAATAAGCAATAAATATATATTATTTATTAGTTTTTCTATAAAATAGTTTCTATAAAATCTCATGGTGCACTTGCTGAATTATTCATATTTCATAAGACGTTTCATCTTTTTGGTTATCTATAAGACAGGACCAATCGGGAACTCTGTTCGTTTTCAAATATACTTCTTTCGTTAAATATCGCAACGGTAAATCTGTTGTGCCAAAGATAGCACCACCCAACCACGCCGTGTAATTCGGTTTACTGGGTGCCTTATGGAATTGGAATGATTCAATTTTTAACTTGGTTTTGTACAGATCGCTGTTGGCTAAAGCCAGCAGTTCGGATTTCAGGCGACTCACAAAACCCTTTGCCATAGTCGTTCCTCCGATGAGCATTATATTTTCAGCAAACGCCCGCCTCGTATCCAATGGACACTAGTGTCAAAAAATTTGCATTTACACACCAGAAACATATTGTTAGATAAAACCTAATAATCTATTAACCTGATAAAATTGCTTTATAACGGATATCGTTTTTTACCTTGATGATCGCATCCAATATCATGGTTGGTAAAGAGAGGTTATCGTTATCCCTTTCCCATAGCACTTCAAATGCCTTTTCTCTAATTTCTCCAGGTATTAAAATTCTTTTGATGCCAGGATATGTGACATCGAGAGGAGGAGGAGGCGCATCTGTTGTTCCTAGCTTTGCAGATCTTTCTAATGTAGTCACAAAGCACGTTCTTACTTTAATATCTTCCAGCATCTTTTCTGACAAATCCATGTCATTTGACAGGTTATTAAAATATCTCTTTAAATTTCTGTAAATCATGAAAAGAATATGAGTACGGTTCTTCAAAAATAAACAAAGAAAAAAGGGGTTCCAAAGGTGTGAATATTGAAGTGCAAAAAATACTATAAATTAATGTGTGAGAAATTTACATTTATATATGCTACCTCTTCGTATAAATTCCATTCCAAGTTATTTATTTCTTTCATTATATCTCGTTAAATTAAATTGCAGTAGAAATGTGTTTGTAATTTTTCTTTTGAGCTCCAATAAATGTCATGTTGACACATTAATATATGAAAGAAAGAGTATAACTCACTCATGTACTATCTGTCCACCCAAAGGCAATGCCTGCCAAGCTTTAAGTATTGGTACTCCCTCAAAAACTGGAATCAGAGTTGCTTCCTGATATCCAACATCCAATACCAAAGCCGTATCAATACCAAGAGTGCTAACTGTTGCCAAATGACTAGGTAGAAACAATATAGAGCCAACTTCAAAGTGCCTAAACATTACTTTTGCGAGAGTATCTTTGAACAATGTCACCGCCAATGGCGACTCCAAAAGCAATATCCTTGTATCTTTTGGACTTATTACGACATATCTGTAAAACAAAAAATATTTCAAATATGAATCCTAAACAATGGCACAACCGAAAGGTGTAGAAATGTATAGGTTTACTTGAAAAATAACAGATGTAGAAATTCCACAAGAAGTTGATACAAGTCCTCGACATCATTGTAGTCAATAATTCTGCGTATCTTCTTTGATTCTGGACATCTGACCTCCGTTCGTACGATACCACGCGGCGACGCTTCTCCAGCATAGCCAAATCTGTATGTTCAATGTATATAAGATGCAAATATATCTAATAAACGTAATAATGTTTTGACAGTTCATATTGTGCACTCACTTCGTGTACGCACTGCCAATGTCAAACACTACCATTTGCTTATCCGAAATATATCTCACACCCTCGTATCCGCGAAGCATCTTCTTCACTTTTTCTGACTTCACGTTCCTATTGTTTTCAATTGTAATTGACAAATATATTACACGAGCTTCATCAAAATTGCAAGATGCTTGTGCTTTTTAGCGAATTCGGCTGGACGCACTAGTGCATATTAATGCTAGTCCCTATTTCTAGGGATTCTTTTTTTTTAATTTGAGTATATATATGACAGCGCCATACTGCCCGCGGATTACAAACAGTGTATAAAAGGAAGCTTAAGGAAGGATTCTTAACTTTTAATATAACAATGCAGTAATTAATTAACGTTAGTAGCATAGATAATTAAATTTTTAGGTTATTTCTAGGGACTAATTAGCGCGCTAGGTGCGCCCTCTTCCTAAATCATCTAATAGCGTTTTCGAGTGAACGGATTTTAATTCATTGCGGAGCAATTAATCACTATTTTACTATGAACTCGAGTCTTTTATTGATGGAGACGATGCAGTGGCGTCATTGATCAACCTTGGATTGGTCAAATCCGTTCACTTCGGAAACGGCAAAAGGTTGTCAAGGAGTCGCAGGGAGTTGTGTCACTATATTGCATCGTAGTTTTGTGCTCCCGCATCCTTTCTATGGATTCTGCATTCCCCATAGCCGAAGCGACGGACAAATATGGCCGCCTGACAAAACATTCCAAGTAGCAGCGATTAACGACATCGTATCGCTTTCGCTCGGACATGTTGCGCGGTGGCCGAGAGACAACGTCATCTTGACCGAAGATTTCTTTTCTCGAGTGACGTATCGGCATTGGCATCGTAGAACCGGAGGGAACCCGCGTTTTGGCCGCTTGGTCTCGCAGCTCGATTAGCCAGTTTGTGAAGAATAATAGATAGGTGCGTGGTGATCGCGAGGGCAGATTGTTTCGATCGCAGTGCTGGCGATCAGCGTATTGCGTGATCACGAACCGATCACGAATTGATCACGAGCCGATTTGCGACGCGACCGAGCGACACGGGAACGGAAATTGATCGTATGAAATCATGACAATTCTATCGAAGAAGAAGACGAATGCGCCGAAGGACAGGACGCGCGAGGGTGGTGCTGGTCCCGAGGTCGACGTTCATCACGGCGTAGTGCAGAACGAGCACAATTCCGGTAGCATCGCGCTGCCGAACAGCCCTTATCAGGTGAGGCGCGACGTTATTTCTAGGTTTTGGGCTTTGGGGGACAGTTTTTTTAAAACGCAAGTTTTGTGCCACTCGCCGACTAGGTACGCAGCGCTAACGGATTCGCTGTCGACCTCCACGGTGTTCAATCCGATCATGGATCTGGCTCTATAGTGCTGACTGGCAACTCCTACGAGGTATAACTCGGAGAGCTTTTCCCTTCCTTTGTTTCAAACACTTTCAATATTGCATTGATTGTTTCCTTCTATTAGCAGTGATGTGAAGTTTGATTGTTGAGTTTTTGATAATAATGAGTGATAGCATTAGTAAGGGAATTACCAATGAATGACAGCGGAGTAAATGAGGCATGGATATAAATGATAGTTTTGCTTAAATGAAATAAGCTGTGCGGTATGTTGTGTGGCTAATTTACTAATTGAAGTGTTGAACGATTTAATATTTAATTGATGAACTTTGCAAAGATATATCTCTATAAAGATACTTTTGTAAAGGTATATCTTTATAAAGATATATGATGTTTTTACTACAGGCAAATGTAGATCGCCGCGAGGAAAAACATTTCGAAGATGGGAGTGGTCCAAGTCACGGTAAACGTCATCGACAGAGGGCCAGTCCTCACAGGTAATTGAAATGCTGTAAAATACGATGAATAGGTGTATCATGAAATACAGAAAGCACATTGTACAGTTTTATCGCAATATTCATTCTTATATACATGATGTAAAATGGGATATACAAAGAAATTGTGCATTTTTATAGTATACTTTTATAATTTATATATTTAATAAGGGATCTACTAATCTTTTAGTAGCTATATTGGTAGATCTTCACGAGCAAAACGTGAGCGAGAAAGGGACAGGGGCAGGGAAAGAGAGAGAGAAAGAGAACGCGAAAGGCAGGCCACTCCTCCGGCTGCTTCTTGCAACGGTTCACAAGGTAGTGCAATACTTTTATTTATATGGTATGTTATACAGCTATTAGGATAATGGACTCGTTAATAAAATTGTGAAATACATAATTATGAAACACGAAGTACAAGATAGCGTATGTCTGATTAATTTAGGCACAGACACTAGTGTTAATGGAAGAGTTGGCATTGTTAATAATGCCTCAAACTTGGAACACGAACTGGCAAATGGCTACAATAGTGGAGACGAATATACCGGACGTAATGAAAATAACCTCACATTGGCCGAATGGCAGGAAGTCAGTATTATTGAACTTTAAGTTTCTACATAAATGAGGCGTTATTTTGAGGCCGACTTGTAGTAAATCCTTTATCTGTAACAATATAGAGGGACAGATGGTTCGAGAAGCGCTTACGGAAAAAGGGTCTTCAAATAAAAAAGATGGCAGAGGACGGAGCTTGCCTGTTTCGAGCAGTAGCGGATCAAGTTTATGGAGATCAAGAGATGCACGGACTCGTGCGAAAGCTCTGTATGGATTATATTGTAAGTGTGACGCAAGCATGATATTGTCACTTTATTTTGAGACGACAACATCAAGCGATATTGTTTTCAGGCTTCCAATCAGGAGTTCTTCTCGCATTTTGTAGCGGAAGATTTTAGCACTTATGTGGACCGGAAGAGGCAAGAATATGTTCACGGCAATCATATTGAAATGCACGCTATGTCAGAAATGTATAATCGTAGCATTCAATTGTACTGTTACAGTACCGGTGAGTGTCGCTTCTTTCATCAATATTGCAGGATGTTTTATTACTTACGTTCCTTATCGCGCTATTTTTTTCTTCAAGAACCTATCAATACCTTCCATACCATGGTGGAGAGTGATAACGAGCCGATTAGACTATCGTATCATCGCGGTAGTCATTACAACAGCATAGTCGATCCTTACAAAGCCACTATAGGTGTCGGACTTGGTTTACCGTCGTACAATCCAGGTTCCGCCGATCGCGCCCTGATATCAGACGCGGTTCGCCAGAGCGAGGAGTTGCACATTGAACAGGTGATCAATCGAAGCTTGTAAACGAGCATAATATCATTCGGTTTAATTCTACAAATATTTGGAAGAAAGAGATTATCCAAGATTTCAATTTCTTTTTCTCTTCAAGACAATGCTGGAGGATAAGATTAAAGCTACCGACTGGGAGGCGACTAACGAAGCTATCGAGGAACAAGTGGCCCGGGAAAGTTATCTGCAATGGTTACGTGACAACGAGATGCGCAAAGCAGTAAGTATAAATCCAATCGTCATCATCAGTTTACCCTTCTATTGAAGCAAAAAGACTCAGTCACGACTTTTGAATCAAGCGATCAGCCAGTAGTAGCAGTACGAGCACAGTTACGAGCGCGCAACATAATCATTCACACTTTCATTCGCATGGAGGTCGTGGACAGCAGCGTAGCCATACTTCTTCTCCGACCACGACACAAACTAGCCAAGATAATTTACGTAATTCTCCAAAGGTCCGTTTTACATCTATTCCATACGAACGGCAGTCGGTCGCGAGATATGAGATACTCATTGTGATCGTTCAGGTCAGCGACGCGGTGCGGTACAGCAAGAGATCGCCGCAGCACCAGTCGGCTCAAGGCGCCCATCTGTCGTCGGATTTCGAGGTGAAGATGATGCCGCAAGAGCCTGTGCCGGGGAGCAGCAAGGAGGCCCATGCGTCACCCGATATTTCATTGTTCAATCGCCTTCCGCCTGAAGTATTTGGTGAGAAATACTCGAGTGATGTAGTTCTCTTGAAAAAAATACGAAAAAAATAGCGCTCTGCGAATTTTATTCTGGAATATGATTTTTATGTGTTACTCAAGTAATATTGATTTTTTTTTATTACGCTGTTTTTCCAATTCAAATAAAACTCTGTTTGACTTGAAATTTTTTTTTAGATTGCACACCTTTTTAACGACCAATTAATTGTTTTTGTGATAACTTTCATGAGCGTTGAAATTCTTTAGGTCTGACGGATTGGGAAGATAGCCATATACTTTCACAAGTGTTGGCGACGTCGCAGCAAGAGTACTTGGATAGCCTGAAGCAGTCACGCGTGTCGGTGTCCGGAAGCGATAGCGCCAATACGATAGAGTCTAGTAATAATTCTATTAATAATTCTTGAAATGCGGTCGGCAACGGCAAAGTTCAAAAAATATCAGAGTAAAGATATATATACATTTATATATTGCAGTATCATCTAATCCCGTATTGTGCTAGGGCATAAGGTGATTTTGCTTTCTCATTTGCGAGTAAATGTTTAAATAATTATCATTTGTTTTTTTTTTCTTTTTCTCTCTCTCTCTGTCTCTTTCTCAACAACACACATCCGTACATAGGTATGCGACTTTCCAAGAATGTGTACGTCATAGTCGTTAGGCGCTTTGTTAACACTAATAAAATAGCTGCCTTCTTCTTTTTCGTTGTGGGTATCTTTGTGTTGTCACAGAATGTTGTCAATAATTTGCATCATTCCGAAATTGTTATTGTTGAAAGGAAAATTTCTTAGTTTTTATAGTTATAATAACCGTTATCGCAATCTCTATATTACACTCCTCTGTTTTTAGAATCCGACATTTATCATAGAATAAGTGTCGTTGCAGCATGCAATCTGTTTAGGCAGAATATATATTGTTTGATAATCGTGATGTTTTTCCTTGATATAATATAGGTCAAAACGCTTTAGAAAAATCTGCATTGCATTATTTGTAAAAAAAAGAGCAAATAAAAAAAAGTGTCATCTAATTGCAATTTCAATTTATTGATATTTAATGTGACTCCTCAATTAAATATTATTTCAATCGCGCGTACAAGTTTTCTCGCTGAATTATCAATATATTTTTTCAATTTTTTTGTAACTAGATGATTTTTTTATAAAACGTTTCGATATCTTTATCATAAAACCATTTCGTCAATTTCCTTAAAGCTAAAATAATTGAAAACGAGAGATGTTTGTTACATTGAACTCATCGAGTTTCTTCAATTTTTATTTATTTAGAATCCAAAATAAAATATTTTCTACACAAACGCCTCGTAATTTTTGTAACAGCTGAAGTTAAAATTATAGTACATAGTAGAACAACAGTAGTGGCGCATAAATGAATAATCTAAATCGCGAAAGTCATAATATTCACGTTTTTTTTTTTTGAATTTCTGTTTATATGATCTATCACAATAAACTAGTCCTTCAATAAGCGAAGTTACGTGCCACAGTCAGACGGATATTTTCATACTTGTAAAATCGAAATTTGTTATGGGTCAGTTTCATGTTTTGCGAGAATGAAGATGGATAACCACATCGACGATTATACGTTGGAAAGCGTAATCGGCAAGGGAACATTCGGGTATATTTATTATTTGAAATAAATGTAATTACACATACATACATGTGTAGAAATCGATTTTATCTTCTATCAAAGAAATATGTGTATACTTCTAGAACTGTGTATTTGGTGAAAAGAAAGAAAGACTTGAAGCTGTTTGTTATAAAAGCGCAAGATTTAAGTACAATGACTTCACCGTCCAAGGTATACAACTGTGCAATGTTCGACCTTTCATTTGAACGAAAAAGAAATCTGAATCCTATGTTTCATGATTTAGAGAGTGCTAGAAGAGGTGCGGTGTTTGCAAAAGTTGAGGCATCCGAATATAGTATTTTATCACGATGCGTGGAAGAAGAATAATCACAGCTACATTCTTATGGAGTACGCAACTCGATGCACTCTCAAAGATTTATTGGAAACTCGAAACGTACCACTCACAGACGAGGTAATTATCTGTTCTGCGCCGTAAGAAACACTTGAAAACTCAACAGTTGCAAAATTATATTCACACGTGTGTAGAATTTCACTTTTGTCACATGTTGAGTTTTATATTGTCGATTCTTTAATTCTCAATTAATTATACAAAGGAGATGAAGTGTATCAAAGAAATATTCTTAATAGGATGCACTGTATTTGTTTTCACAAGTTACTCTGGGAGTACATCATATTCACACGAACAAGATCCTTCACCGAGATTTAAAACCGGAAAATATCATGTTGACTGGCAGCCGCGGGGACATTGTTAAAATCGGCGACTTTGGTCTCTCGAAAAATATGCTGGAGTACGTAAGCCAATTTTAACAAACAAATTTTATTTTTGTTTTCTTTTTACTACTCACGGATTGTTCTCTTTTAAAAGTTGTCAACGAGAAAATTGAAATCCGCACGCAATTAAATATAGCAAACTTTACTTTCTTGATAAAAATAAAAATGTCAGAGTTTGACAACAATTGTAGATGTAACATATTCTGTATGAATTTATCTTATTCTTATGATTTTTTTTTTTTAAATATCGAATTTCATAAAAATTCCGGTGGATTTTGACAAATTTTATTAATTTGATTTAAAAATACAAATTGACAAGATAATAGAACATCAATCTATCGGAATTTCTTATGAAATTTGACATTCTTTAAAGAAACTATAAGAATATGATAAATTCGTATAAAATATATTACATTTTATAATTTTTCTCAAGTTCTGATAACTTTTGTGGTAAAAATATTTTTCTGAGAAACGTTTTACAAAACTCTGACAAATTTAATAAATTTGAACACTCGTAAGGAAAAAATCTAATCTAATTTAAAAAAAAATATCGTTTTTTTCTCAAAACAATTCTGCAAATTATTGTTTTCTTTTTGCTAACAAAATACCGTAAACATTAGAATATTCTAAAATTTCTTTAATAATTAAAGTTTGTTATGAAACTTAAGGTTTGTATAAAAAATTTTAAAATATTGTGTTTTATGATTCTCTAAATTTTTCTTTTGTTTCTATGTAGCCTCCAAATTTTTTTGAAAAGACGTAATATCCTTAAAAAATCATTATTTAACAACTTCTGAAAAAATATTTTTAATTTATAACTTTATTGAGAAGATGTAGTATTTAGAAAAACTCATTATTCAATCATTTCTGAAAAAAGATATTCAAATTAAACTTTAACTTGAATAATAAATTACCAAATTATTACACAAAAATTAAAAAAAAGTGAGAAAACATTTTGTGTTATCAGAAAAACTAACGTTCTTACAAAATATACCCCTTTTTTCTAACAATTTCAATATTTTTAACAAAAATTTTTTTTGTGAAAATTAACGTAAGAAACGAGTATATAATCTTTTTTAGTAGAAATTCAAAGTTTTGTTAAAATTTTATAGTTTTACTAAAACAAATTCGATAATTTCATTAAAAATTATATTTATTTTTCTAAAAAGTATTGAAATTACTATAAAACTTTTGAACAATTTTCCGAAGTTACTGAAAAACAATTTTTTAATAATGAAAGTTAGAGGTTTTCGCAAAAAATATTTTCACTAGGGTTCTGACATATTTATTTCTATCAGAACTTTTATACAAACTTCTTCAAAACCTTTTCCAATTGTATTATTTCTTTATATATTTTATAGAGAATCGATAACCAATCACGCAGGCTCTTATTATTATATGGCTCCAGAAGTGCTAACTATACAGCCATATGAATTCAAATGTGATATATGGAGCATGGGTGTTGTACTATACGAGATGATTACAAAGAAACTTCCATTTCCGGCCACGGTAAATTGATTAACTATGAAATGCGAATAAGACGTAAAGTAACAGCACATAACTTTGTGCCTGAAGAATTTTTAAAAAATGATATTTCTTGTAAAGAAAAAGAGCTGGTGAAAATAAATATGTTAGAAGTTATCAGAATTTGACAAAAATTGTAAGACATGACATATTCTGTATGTTTGATTTAAGAACGTGAATTTGACAAAGCAATGGAGTGTGTCAAAAATTTGTCAGAATTTATCGGAATTGTTTATAAAAAATTCGACATCTTTTTTTAAAAACACGATAAACTCACACAAAACACGTCACATGTCACAATTTTTGCCGAACTCTGTTAACTTCCGAGATATTTTTATTTCTACAAAAGCACGAAGAATACTGAAGACATTTTTTATGTCCTATAAGCATGTTTTGATTATCGTTTCAGAGTCTAGCGGAAATTACGAAATTAGTGTACAATTGTCCGCCGCAGCCTCTGCCACAACAAACATCGGCACCCCTTGCGAATCTGATATCGAAAATGCTAAGGAAGCACAGTTCGTGTCGACCCAGCACCAACCAGCTTGTGCTTTGCCCGTTTCTCGTCCCTTATATCGTTCGAGTGTATCTGAATCTCGGCCGTAGCATTAACTCCGCTCAACGAGAATGCGAGAGCTTCGGAGCGCATCTCTTCTTAAAATTCCTGAATCTACCCAAATCTTAATTGGAGCGATATTTTTGGTGTTTTCTCAATCTCTGAAAGAATAAGTGGATGACTTCGTCACAGATATGAGAATTCATTCTCCCCGAAATTGCATGTTAAACTATTTTAATAGAATGTTGACTGGATTCCTGAAAAAAAAACTTTTTATTACATGTCTAAGAATTTTTCCGTTGCTTAGCTTTTATTTTGTCCGGGAAAGTAGAATTCCTAAATTTTCCACGCAATTTATATGAAATTATCAGTTTTACAATATGATTATTAATAATCTTAAGTTATTGCAATTTTCAATGTTATTTGTATTATAAGCTGTCTGTAAAAATTAATCTTTGAGTTATGCAGAAACGTAATAGAGAAGATTCCGCTTTTTTTTAATTAGATGACATGTTACTGCAATCTCACTTGTGATATTTTTGACCTCAAGTGCGCGATTGAATTAAGGACAATTTTTCATATTGTATAATGTATTGTACGCACAGCGCGCGAGCGAGCTTTTTGTTATCTTGAGTAACTCTGCATTAAATGTATTATAGTGTACAATCGTCGGAAGGAAATTAAATTATAAACGATTGAACGTACATGATTTCTAAATAATTGAGAGCCCGGTCGTTTTCGGTGACGATATACGGAACCAATTTGCCGCCACTGGAAACGGTTAGATTTTAATCTTGCTATTACGGCACTCTGCCTCGATGGAATCCCATTGTTCGACGGACTAGCGTCGAACACGAGCCCTCCGGTCATATGGGAAGCGTAATGACCGGAAGTTGAAACCGGAACTGCGTCGATATACCGCTTCGTTTTGTGCCGACGCCGCGGTCCTGGAAAACCGTACAGTTTGCATCTAGTTAGTACAGATTTCACTCTGTTAGTTTCGTCATCCGAACACGCCCTCGCGACATCGACAGTGTAAGATGATTAGAAGAAATATTTTCAACCAAAATTGAAAGTTTAGTGCTGTAAAATAAAGTAAACATCCAGATGGGATCTATTTTGGATTCTTCATATTTCAAGTGGAGCTTATAAATTATGAACTTACCTCTTGCACTCAACCCTTTCGTTTATCGTTGATATTTTTATTATTTAAGGATATTACTCGGTATTTAGAATACATTATTTTAATTCACGTGAAACTGCTACTTTAAGGAAAAAGAATTTTGCCAGGCAAACTCCATGTCAAAACCATCATTGACGGACTTCGAGGATCCTGATGATCGACTAGCGAACAACACATGACGCGCGTGCATAAGTTTTTTGAAAAAGAGGTGAATTAAAAGAAGAATTGCAAAAATTTTCAGTCTGTGAAATCTAATTTATAAACATTTGATTTCAAAATGTTTGACTTTCTTTCGTCCTTTTCTATTCCAAGTATGCTATCAGATGATATAACGTTAAATATTAAACGTAATAATAATAAATAAAACGAATTCAATGTCAATTCAATGTCAAAATCATTGAAAATAAATAAATATAAAGAGTTTATAAATAGAAGAGTTTTCAGTGCTTCAAAATTTTTTAAGCTCTTCAAAATTTAAAAAATTTTACAATATTATCGATTATATGTAACGATCTATGAAAACTTTGGGATTTTCATTTTGAAGTTATAATTCCAGATTGAGAGACTCGCAAATTTCACAGATCGAACCCTTAATATTCTTCATTTTAATTCGCTCGTCCTTCGAGATAGAAAATTCAAGTGCATCCGGATATGTGGTGGATTTTGTTACTGAGTTGCTGGTCGTATCCTTCGTTGGCTATGACTTGGTATCCTCCGATATCGAGGACCGCTTTGAGCGCGATACTCGGGGAACAAGTGGATCTCGTGGCCGCCGATAACACGACTTACGCGCCCGACTGGACAAGTACCGCGAATAATGACGCTGCGACCGGTGGCTCGGAATCTATCGATTCGATCGACACAGGACAATCCCCCGTGAATTCCGTCGATCGCGATCGCGAACCGTTGGACGAAGTGGAGCGCATCGAACCCAGACAGTGGCCAGGCAGGCCGGATATCCTTCCGACCCGCAACACCGCGCCTTTCACGACGGAAACATCTTTGGCGCCTAGATCTCCGCAACCCACCACATTGGCACAAAGGTTCTTTTCTAAGCTTGCAAAAATAATTCGGAAATATTCAGGTTTTCTCGCCTAAATTCAATTTTAGCACAAAATCATCTTTTTGTAAATTGATTTTAATTATACTTTCACTGTAAATATAATAGTTCGAACATTTTATTTCTATCTCAAGCGCAATAATTAGTAAATTTAATAAATTTTATAATTTTATAAAAATTGTGAAAACTGGTTATTAATTAAAAGATCCATCAGTTTCAGTTAAATTGCTCGTAAATTTGCGTTTCTAAGGTATCCAACTGCTCCACCACCGACGGTTGTCGTCGAAGAAGTCTTCTGCGACTTCGGGCCGAATCCGGCGATGCCGCTTTGCGAGTGGCAAAACGGAAACGGCGCCTTAGACTGGACTGCGGGTACCGGAATGGGCACAAATTGGCTGGGCGGACCAGCGGCCGACGCTACGAGCGGTTCGATGGATGGCGGGTAAAAAATTGTTATTCTAAAGAAATTCGTAAAAGAGCAAAAGTTATATTTTTCTTCACGTTGGATCGAAACTATAATATCATTTCTCTCTTTGTATCGCTAATAAATTGTATTCTTTTCTATGTACTTACATTGGTGTTTTTACGGAGTGAAAAATGTCAGTTTTCCATTCATCCTTCACTTTAATACTTCTAAAATAATTTTGAGCGCGGATTAATGTGTTAGATACGCTTTTCTGGAGACATCGCAGACACCTGCGAAGGATCTAAAGTCCAAAAGCCACGGAGGTCTCCTGCACAGTCCACAATTGGGCAGCACCGGAGTCGCTGGTACCTGCTTCATGTTCAAATACACCATGGACGGCCTCAGCATCGCGGGACTACGGGTGCTGCTTCACGTCGGGACGGACGAGTTTTCGTTCAAGAAAGAGCAAGAGGAAGAATTGCCTGTAGAGAATATCACCGCTCCTGCGTCCTGCGAGCCGGTGGAAGTCGTGGAGGAGCGTGTGCTGTGGCACGCGCAGTATTACACGCTTGGAGCGTGGCAGCAGGCTCAAATACTCTACACTTATCCCGAATTACATTCGGTATATTATTCAAATCCTGCCTTTCCCTAAAATATAATTTCCTTTTCTTTCCAGCAAACGAAAAATTATTGAAAGTTCAGAAATGGGATTGAAAATTACTGAGAAGAATTCATTCACGACGATACTGAATTCTATTTAATTCTTTTCAATAATTTTCAATCCCATTTCTGAACTTTCAATAATTTCTTATTTACTGGGTTGATGCCTAAACCCCAGTTTCGTGTTGTTTTTTTTTTCTTTATTTAATTCATAAAAATCTTGTTAACTAGGTGGTTATTGAAGGCGTGCCGGTGGACTCCACGGATCCCTCGCGTTTATATCGCGGATACATCGCTATCGACGACATAGATTTGCAGAGTGGCACGTCCTGCACTGGATTTTGCAACTTTGCCGGTGGTTTCTGCGAGTGGAACAATGACGCGGAAGACGACTTCGATTGGACCATAGTGAGTGCGCTGCCAAGCGAAGTCTTTGTCACGACGAAATCCAAATGCTACAATAATTTAAAAATACGCTTCCTAAAATAATAAAGATAAGCAATGAATCACGTGACGCACAAGTGCATAAAAGATTCTTGAAAAATTTTCATCATCCGTGCGAAGGAGATTTGAAAAAGGGAAAAAAACTTTTTCAGAGTCGCGGCAGCGGGAATCCCACGACCGGTCCGGCGATGGACAGTTCCAGCGATCGTGCCACAGCCGGCGGTTACGCTTTCATCGATTCCAGCTTCCCGCGAAGGCCCGGCGACACGGCGAAACTGATAAGCTCGAGCTTTCCACCGACCAGCGCGAACACGCCGATGTGCATGCACTTCTGGTTCCACATGTTCGGATCCGGAATTGGCCACCTGAAGCTCTTTCTACGTCACTTCCGCAGCTCGGACAGCCAGCTCCAAGAAATCTGGGGGCTGTCCGGAAACGCCGGCAACGCCTGGTTCATGTCGCAGGTCACGATCAGCTCCCTCGATGACTTTCAGCTAGTTTTCGAGGCGTCGGTGGGCAACACCGGTATGGGAGATATCGCCATCGACGATATTTCATACGGGCACGGTGCTTGCCCTGGTAGGTTCTCAAACATTGCTTACATCGCTCGACTGTGTCGAACCGAAAAGTTAAATATCAATGCTTCTGCAAAAACCGTAAACAGTACTTTCAATAAATTAAACTTATATATAAATTGGTCCTTCTTAAATACAGAAGTAGAGAACTTCACGCAGTAAATCTTACTTTCTTCATAAATAAATGCAAGTATATTTGCAAACACATTTTGAAAAACTAAATTTAAGACAGGCATTGAGATGTTTCTTGATTTAAAAAAAAACTTTGTTAATTTTACGGTTATAATTATCTTTAACTGAAAAACTGATTGAGATTCTAAACTGAAAGTGTATAAAAATATAGTTTTAAGGGGATCGCGAAGTCGTTTGTTTTACCGATTTCTTTTAAATAAACTTTACTTTTTTTGGTCTGTGTAGAATGAAAAATCCTTTTCTGTAATTAAAGTACATATGCTAATATAAGGTCGATTTGAAAGAATTTTTCATTCCACGCAGCCAAAAAAAAATTTTACAAAAAATAGAAGGTAAAACAGGTACCGATCTGCTTTACTTTCTATTTTTCGTAAAATTCTTTTTTTTTAGATTGGAAAATTTTTTCAAATCGACTGTCCACCCTGTATTAGCATATGTACTTTAATTACGGAAAAAAATTTTTTATTCTACACAGCCAAAAAAAGTAAAATCTATTTAAAAGAAATCGGTAAAACAGACGATTCCGGGATTCCCTTAAGCCACTTTTAATTTTCACATTTTCGGTTGATGATAATTGCAGCCGACTAATTAATGCTTTACACTGCTCCAAAGTTTCGCCGCAAGTGGCTGGCCCGATACCGCGAGATTGCACCTTTGAGGTCGACGAGTGCGAGTGGATCAACTCGCGGGATCCGGATCGCGTTGAGTGGGAAAGAGTGTCCACCCAAGTGTTAGGCCCAAGAAATCAGAGGAAACCGTACAGCAATGGGCACACCGTTAACCGGCGCAACGAGTACTTCCTGGGACTTGGACGTCTTCGAGGTCCGCGATCGTCCGGCGGCGGCACCGCTCAGTTGGTCAGCCGAGAGATGAGGGGCTCCGAAGAACCGATTTGCATCACGTTCTGGTACTTCATGTTCGAGCCATTCATCGATTCCACAGGACCTAGTTTGGGTGAGTGGAATTTCTCCGGAAATGAAAGCAATTGAATTCTTCTCATCTTTAGAACCAGGAATTTTGATTGTGTAATTAGTGTTCGTTAGCAGGGCTGGAGAGGGAATGAAACTTTCGATAAAACTGATAAAAAAATAAATTTTACAGGCGTCTTGCGACTGTACGTGCAAGCGGTCGGTGATACCGTGACGGAAGCCAAGCCGATATGGCAGTTGTACAACAATCAGGGCCCCACGTGGAACTATGCTCAAACGAATATCAATCAAAATTCGGATTTCAATATCGTGTTTGAAGGCACGTGGGGTCCGAATCGAGCGAGTGGCAGCATAGGAATCGACGATATTGCTTTTTACACCGGAAATTGCAGTGGTGAATTTTCTCCTCTTCATTTTTTAAAACAGATCTCTTTTTGGGTATTTCTCTCCCTTGAATTTGTCAGAAATTGTCGAAATTTGACAAGAATTTGTAAGATATGACGTATTCTCTATATGAATTTATTATATTCTAATAATTTCTCTTAAAATAAAGTCGAATGTCGTAACAAATTCCAGTAGATTTTGACATATTCTATTACTTTGTCGATCTACGCTTTTAAATTAAATGTACAAAATATTTGTCAATTTCTGACATATTGATTTTACCAGGGCTTTTTTTTCGTTCGATAAAAATTCGATCTGTTTGCAGTGAGACCAGCGAATGCAGCTGTTCGCACAGAGGATTGCAGCTTCGAGAAGGGTCTATGCGGTTGGGAGAACACAACTGCTTCCGATAATGATCGATCTGTCATGTGGCAGCGTGCGTTTCTTGCCCACCGACCGGCCCAACTGTTGGACAGAACCTTCGGCGCGACCGGCGATTTCGTGTTCTTCGACATCTTTACAACAAATAAACAATCGACCAAGGTTCAATTGCGATCGCCGGTCATCGGCGCCTCGCCCGATGAAGAGTTTATATGCTTCACCTTCTGGTTTGCCGCCTTTGGCGTAGAGGAATCCACCACTCTGCGAGTGATCAAAATGCCCGCTGAAAATGGCGACGAAGATGGCGAAGGCGAAGAGGAGAAACCGGTACAAATGTCACATATAAATTTAAATTTCATTATCTTATAATTTGTTTAACTTTTTGTATCTTTATTTTGTCACCAGACCGAGAATATTTCTCTTTCACGAGACAAAAATATAATTCGCATTTCTCTTTCTTCGAAACTTGCTACTTCATTCTCATTTCGTTGCAGTTATGGTCATTGACGGCGAAAGGACTCAACAATCCGCGACCGGTATGGATGGCGGCTCAAGTAACGATTGAAGCGCGAACTCCATATCGGTTAATTTTGGAAGGGAGCGCCAGTAATGGAGGCTTCGCCATCGACGACATAAAGTTTCAACCTCTAGCCTGCGCAAGTAAGAGTAATACATAGTAGACATATAGTGAGCAATAGTATAAAAAATATTTATGTATTTTATATCATTTTTTTTTTCTTTCAGCTCGACCAGCCAATGCCCAACCGATAGAGAATGAAACTTAAGAAAAACGTATATAATAATAATTATAGATAATAAATTTTGCGTTAAAATAATCCTTTTTTATCAATTAGCAGTTATTATTTATGTATAATAGTAGTGCACAATATGCAATAAACGATTTTAAAATACACGTGTAATGCATTTTTGTGCAATTTAAAAAGCTATCAACTGATAATTTGTTGAACATGCGACAAATATTTGCAAAACGTATTTTACTTAAAAATATTATTCAGAAAGTGAAAATTGTTAATTATATTTCAGGATTCAAGGAAATAGATATCTATTTGCAAATTGATATTTGTATAAATATCTCTTTTGGTAAATATGTCTTTGTAAAAAATATATTAGAATAGATATTTATTTAGTATCACGAGTACAATGACAAATTGTATATAATAATTCTGCCAAAAAAGTCGGTGCTTTGATTAAATAGAAATCTGAAAGTCTTAGCCTTAATTTGATTGTTCAAGCTAAACCGTTGCACTTTGTTTGTATCTTCAGGATAAAACGCTTCTACAACTGTTGTATCTTTTTCATCGCTGCCAGCTTCTAAATAGCATTCTTTCCCAGCAAATCCTCCTTGAAATTCTATCTCAAAGCTGGAAACGCTATGTTCTTCTTCAAAATTGATGACAACCCATTGTGGACTGCCCTGTAATATATTATTTATTATACTAAATTGTATTATATATAAAATTAAATTACACGTTTAACTTTTTGTAATATATAAAATGTAGTTTTACAAATTTTTAGTTGCTGTAATAAAGAACGATTTAAAATAATTATTCGGAAACTATTTAATAAATATAATATAATTAATAGCATAAGTTTATTCAGGCAAATTTGCATGGAGAAATCAATTGAAATATTTACTCAGAAAGTTTACTTACCGCATCAGAGTTCCAACATGTTTCAGTAGACTTATCAAACATGTTCTTCTTGCCAAAAGACCGAATATTCTTATTCAGCACTGAGCTAACTCTGAAAAATATTGGATATTTATTAAAGTAATCATAAAGTGCTTCACTTAAAGAATTTACAAATACAGATGAGTTTATTGCTGTTATTTAATTTTATTATAAGACTAACCGGCAATCAAATTTCTTTCCTTGCAACAAGGAAGACATATTTCAATTTCGTTTATCTCGTAGAGAATAAATCACAGTATGTCAAAATAAATTATTATGCTGTACTATGCTGAATAAAGACTAAAATTCCATGCAACTTGTTGCATTATTTTCGCTTATGGGTTATAAACAAATAATTAGGTTATAAACAGATCATAAACAAATAAGCATTATACAAACTGCGTTTTGCAAAGATATAAAACACTTAGCGATAAAGAATTATATAAAATTTAATTCTAATTCACAAATTTTTATATTAATTTGTAACAATGTAGTGCAATTGAATTCGTTTTTCTCACTTGTCAAAATCGACTTAAGGTTTGTTTGAACAAATTTGTTAAATACATAACGCACAGAAAAATTAACCAACCCATTGCCCGCGTTTAGCAGAACAACTGCTGAATTGTCTAGGCTGCGTTCCGAAATTCACAGCCAGTACTGAAAATCTACAATATACGTTACGTAAACTATAGATTTTCATTACTGGCAGTGAATTTTGGAACACAGCCACAGTCACTACTTAACGTTGATTTGTTGGTTCTGAAAGTAAGAGCCAATCACGTTCGATTGCTACTAAGGCTGAGTTCCACTTGGTGATCGCAACGCTCGTGAACATTATCTATCTTTCTTTAATTTTCGATGAAAAACAAAGATAAAATGATTCCACAAGCGTTGCGATCGTCAAGTGGAACGTACCTTAAGCGGTTTGTTCTACTGAACGCGCCCAATGGCTCCTGCACACATGACGCGGGAACGTTTGCCGCGCGATAAAAGGCGACGCGGTAGCCAATCAACTGACGACTTTTTCGTAAGAGCGAAATAACCAAATACTGTCGAGAAAAGAAAAGATTGCCAATTCCTGTTTTGGACAATTTCTGACTGTTGTTGATTGGCTGCTTTTTTCAGTGCCGCATTATAACTAGAGTCCCTAGAAGCATTTTCTAGGGATTTCAATCGCAGCGAGAAGGAGATCTATGTGCTATTATTTAGTTTCTGTGGTGCCTTCCACAGTACGATCTCCCACTTCCTACTATTTTTTACTATTTTATTGCTATTTTACGGAGGGATACGGAAGAAGTAGTGTTGAAGTGTCTTACTTTGGAGTTAACTGAACTTGTAAAACGGATCCGAGACGAAGTGACGCATACAAAGTCTCGGACGAGGTTTGTTATTTGGAAACATGGCAGAGTATCTGGATTCGGAGGCAGATGTGAGCGAGGCAAGTATTCACAATTGCTTTTTCCCTTCAAGAATTTTATGTGATGCAACGGCGATGCACTTGGATAATTTATATACGAATTCTGAATACATGTGCGAATACGTTGTAGGGTGAGGAGGAGTTGGATCAAAATGAAAAAAGAAAGCTCAAAAAATTCAAGGCGATGGAGGAGAGCGACGACGAGGAAGACGGTAGGAAAAAACGCGGCTTAAAGCCGCACTGCACTTTCTGCATGTGTTTATTTCTCAGAAAGTACTGTAATTATTCATTAATGGCACTATGATTGCTCTTGCATGTAATGTACAATTATTTTGTGTAAATAGTGTAGGAATCTCTCATTAATTTTTGTTTAAATTAATTATGAAAAGAGAAAAAGCAATGGGATAAAGGCAACAATTTTTTTAAAGATTCAGATAGATTTCTAAATAGAGTTCAGATTCTAAATAACTTTTACTAAAATATGTAAAATATACTTCAAGAATATTGAAGAACTCCTATATTTAGGATTTACTTACATGTAGGATCGCATATGTTGCAAGTTAGGAATTTTAGAGTAGATCTTTTTGGAATAACTATGCATGTGCATGTATATTTTTTCTATTGGTTTCTCTCTACTTCCTCATTGTATGCTGATTTAGAAAAAAAACCATTGAGTCAATAGCTCTTGGAAAATGCAACTGATCAAGGATGACTGTTTCCAATGTCGATAATTTTAATCAATGGTTCAAAATTCTCAAAGGAGAAAAAAGTTTAACATTGTTTTTCCTTTTTAGGACAATATTTCATTTTTTATTAGCAATTTTGTCAATAAGTTTGGTTGAAGTTAATCAATATTGGAAACAATCAGTTCTAGAAGCCAATAATAGACAATTGTTACTCAGCAATTGCATAACAATTGTGTTCTATGAATAAAATCATTAATTTCTGCATTTATTATTGAAGTATTTTGATTTCTATATTTTATTTCTTTTTGTTTTATTTATCGTTTAAGTAATTTAAGTATAATTCTAAATATCTTACGTACAGCATCGGTGCTAGACTGTTTTATATCCTAGGCAAAAAGATAACTTACATTCCCTTCTAAAAAAAAAATTGTTAATTTTGACCTTGACTTTGGTGGTTACTGCGTTCTCGGAGCGTTGGCCTAATGTTAGCATCAGCCTTGCTTACGTATGCAATCTTTTGGAAGCTCACTTTGACTACGTGAACTCCAGTTCCAGATGGCCGTAAGAAGTGAGATCCTTCGGAGCCATATTATATCTACTCTACTCTGACCACGTGGAAATGAAAGATATCTTTGGCAATTTTTTTTAATAAATAGACTGAATTAAAATTTTTTTTGTATTATAGGTTGAAAATGTATATTTTAATGTTACAAAATGTGCAAAATAAAAAACATAAATGGTATTTATATCTAATATGGCTGCTTTAAAAATCTATATATTTTAAAACATAATATCAGTATATGCAAGGTTATGCAAATACTACTTGTCTAAAACAAAACAATTAAAAAAAGTTTCTTAAAAATGAATATTGTAACTATTGTCGTACATACGGAATTTTAAAAATTTGAAAAAATAAAAAATTACACATATTTAAAATAAAAATTTAGAGAAAAATTTTTATTATTTTTTTCTCAGGAATGAATTATTATAAAACAAATATCGACGATAGAGCATGCTATTAAAAATTCAGTTAAAATTTAAAGTTAATTAGACCAAAATTGACTGAGATATGTTGCACACCAATTCGACAAATTTTTAAGAAATACAGATTTTTGAAGCAGCCAAATTAGATATAAATATTTACTATTTACTTTTTTTATTTTATAACATTAAAATATATATTTTTAATATATAATAAAAGAAGAATTTTTAATTAAGTCTATGACAAAAAAGTTGCCAAAGATACCAGTCAGTTTCGCGTGGTCAAAGCTGCTATCTTAACAGTGATAAATTAAGAGAGAAAATTTTTCAGACTCAAACATGCATTCTGATAAACTTATGAATAGAGATTTAAAACATTATTTGTTCAGAAATCGAGTAGCGTTATTATTCTAGTTTTATTATGGTTTTTAGGCTGTTTTTTTATTGTAAGATATAGGAATTTGCTCTAAAAGTAGTTTTTTTATCGTATTCATCTTTGAAAGAGTAATTTATATTTTAGTGCTGTGTATTCTTGGCTTTTGAATCTCCCTGGAATTGATAATCTTTTATGGTTATTTTCTCCTTTGCTTATTTCATGCTTTCAGAAAAAGAATTTTTTCTTTTCATTTAACTTATCACTCTCTTGTTTTCTCTTATACATTATTTTTTTGCAATTTTTTTGATCTCTGAAATAATTTATCAAATATTCTGGTGCAAAAATTGACTATATATTCATTATTTTTATATATTTATTGAACTAATTGTACTACTTTATCTATTATTTTATATATATATATATATATATATATATATATATATATATATGTTTTTTTAAATTATATATTAATATACATTGTAGATGACGAGGATCAGATACGCGAGGAGTTAAAAGATTTGATAGATGACAATCCTATAGAGGAAAGCGAGGGTGAAGATAGCGATGGTTCTGATCATCATAAGAAGCGTAAGAAGAGTGACGATGAGGACTTTGATGATCGCTTGGAAGATGAAGATTACGATTTGATTGAAGAAAATTTAGGTGTTAAACTTGAAAGGGTACGCTCTAAATTTTCTATTGTTCCAATCTTCTGTTGTTATTCTATTCATTATAGGAATGTTTAATTTAAGGAATCTATTTCTTATTGTAGAAACGCTTCAAGCGTCTTCGAAGGATTCAGGATGAAGAGTCGGAGGAAGAGCAGGAGAAGGAAGTGGATGAAGAACGAGACGCTATTGCCAACGAATTGTTTGAAGGTTCTGGAGATGTGAGTACACGAAGATTGACAATATAAAAATACAATGCAGTTTTTTGTTGTTGAAGCATTTGAAAATCTTTGTAACACTTTGATTGCAATATTTGATTGTGCAATCTGCACTTGTATGCAGTTTTTCTCATCAGTTCGATGATGCTTCAAAACATTGCATATTCTATTGAAGTAATTATTTTACTTTTTTACGAATTTTCTTTATTTTATGTATGTCAATATATTTATAAATACAAACTCATAACTGTATATCACTTATATATCATGTATGTATCACGTTTGCCTTTATCAAAACATGCGTACTTATGTTAGGAAAGAGACATCATCACGGTATGTGCAATGTAGTCTTTGTGTAACGACTGTATTTATTTATGCAAAACTGAAACATATTTACATTTAGTTCTTTATGCTGTTTTTAGGAAGATGAAAGGCGAAGCGAACGAAGCCACAGACCTGAGGCTGAAACTTTTGAGGAAGGCAGTGACGAAGGCGAATATACTGACGCGGATGATTTTATCGTCGATGACGATGGCAGACCTATCGCGGAGAAAAGGAAAAAGAAGAAGCCGATATTTTCCGATGCGTATGTTGTGACATTTAATATCTCTTAAATATTCTGTAATACACTCTGCTACGTGCTAAATTTTCTATTATTATAAGATAAGATCTAGATTTATAGAGATAAAAAAATATCTTTTTCCGTTTTAGAGCGTTGCAAGAAGCGCAGGATATTTTCGGCGTTGATTTCGATTACGACGAATTCGGCAAATATGGGGCGGAGGATTACGAAGAGGAAGAGGAGGAAGAGGAGGAGGATGAATACATGGATGAAGACGTCGACACTGAGCGTCCGCGGCGACCTAAGAAGCAGCTGAAGAAAAAGACAACGAGGAAGAGTATCTTCGAGATTTACGAACCTAGCGAATTGAAACGCGGCCACTTCACCGACATGGACAACGAGGTACGATGCAATGATAACAATAAGATTAATAAGATAAACAATAAGATTATTGGCCGATTGGCTATAATTATCATTGATATCGTATTGAACGAAACGATTTTTACGCTGTATTTATATACTTGAATTTAGCAAAAAAAAGAAAAAAGTTTTTTCACTCAATGATTTCGAAGAGTGCATAAAAAAACATATAAGAATTGAAATACATAAAAGTTGAACAATATGACAAAAAAAATGTAGTGAACGTTACTGATAGTTGACTATATTGTTTACGAAATGATTACTTATGCTTTTCTATTTGACTTCTCATTGCAGATACGTAACACAGATATACCGGAAAGAATGCAATTGCGGTCCGTGCCGGTTACGTCGGTTCCCGAGGGCTCGGACGAACTGGATCTTGAGGCGGAGTGGATCTACAAGCAGGCGTTCTGCAAGCCCACGATCTCCATTCAGGACGCCCATTTGAACGCCGAGGCGAAAGAACGGGCGCGAAAAGGACCGCAAACGATCGGCAAGATTAAGAAGGCCTTGGACTTCATGCGTAATCAACATTTTGAGATTCCTTTTATATCCTTCTACAGGAAGGAATACGTGCTGCCCGAGCTAAACATTAACGACTTGTGGAAGGTGTACAAATTTGACGCGAAGTGGTGCCAGCTGCGCCAGCGGAAGGAGAGTCTGCTCAAGCTGTTCGAGAAGATGCGCAACTATCAGTTGGACGAGATCATGAAGAATGCGGACGCGCCACTGTCGGACAATGTGCGCGTGATCAAGGACGATGATATCGAGCGACTGAAGAATGTGCAGACGAGCGAGGAGCTGAACGACGTTTATCATCACTTCATGCTGTACTACAGTCACGAGATCCCGGCGATGCAGGAGACCGTGCGGCAGAAGGAGAAGGAGGCGCGACGCAGGGAGAGACTCGAGCGGCGTAAGCAGCAGATCGCCGAGGCCGAGGAGAACGGGGAGGATCCGCCGGAGGAGGACGAGGCGCAGGAGGAGGACGAAGTCGACGACACGCTGAAGCAGGCGGTGAGAAGCGGCTCGTACTCGCTCTGCCGGAAGGCCGGCCTGGACGGCTTGGCGAAGAAGTTCGGCCTGACGCCCGAGCACTACGCCGAGAACCTGCGCGACAATTATCAGCGTCACGAAGTGGATCAGGAGCCGACCGAGCCGACCACGATCGCGAACGAGTACTGCAGCACGCAATTCAAGTCCGAGGAGGACGTGCTGAAGGCCACGCAGCTGATGGTGGCTATTCAATTGGCGCGCGAGCCCCTCGTCCGCAAATGCGTGCGCGAAATGTACATGGAGCGCGCGAAGGTCTCGGTGAAACCGACGAAAAAGGGCACGAAGGAGATCGATGAGAATCATCCGATTTACACGATGAAGTATCTGAAGGACAAGCCGGTGCGCGATCTTGTAGGCGTGCAGTTCCTGAATCTGATGACCGCCGAGGAGGACAAGCTCATCGCCATCACCTTCAGCGACAGTATTGAGGGCAACACCAGCAGCAACTACGTCGACGAGATGAAGCAGCTTTACTGCCGGGACGAGTTCAGCAAGCTTGTGCAGGACTGGAACGCGCTGCGCGTCGGCAGCGTCGAGATCGCGCTCAACCGCATGGTGATACCGCACTTGAAGAAGGAGCTGCGCATCAATCTGATCGCCGAGGCGAAGGAGTGCGTGATGCGCGCCTGCTGCCGCAAGATGTACAATTGGATCAAGGTCGCGCCTTACAGCTGCGAGTTTCCCGAGGAAGAGGACGAGGAGTGGGACACCGGCAAAGGGCTGCGCGTCATGGGTCTGGCTTACGTGCCCGACTACTCTCAGGCGGCCTTCACCTGCCTCGTCGCGGCCGACGGCGAGTGCACGGATTATCTGCGCCTGCCGCACCTGATGAAGCGCAAGAACAGCTATCGCGAGGACGAGAAGCTGATGAAGGAGGCCGATCTGCTGGCGCTGAGAAACTTCATAGCCACGAAGAAGCCGCACGTTGTCGTGGTGGCCGGCGAATCTCGAGAAGCGATGATGATCGCCGCCGACATCAAGGAGTGCGTCGATCACCTGACGAAGGAGGAGCAATTCCCCGCCATTCAAGTGGAGATCTGCGACAATGAACTCGCCAAGATCTACTCCAACAGTAATAAGGGCGTGTCGGAGTTCCGGGACTATCCGGAGCTGCTGCGCCAGGCCATCTCGCTGGCGAGGAGAATGCAGGATCCGCTGGTGGAGTTCTCGCAGTTGTGCACGGCGGACGAGGAGATTCTCTGCCTCAGATACCACAGTCTGCAGGATCAGCTGCCCAAGGAGGAGTTGCTGGAGAATTTGTACCTGGAGTTCGTCAATCGCGTGAACGAAGTCGGCGTGGACGTGAACAAAGCGGTTCAACAGGCGTATTGCGGCAATCTCGTTCAGTTCGTATGCGGTCTCGGCCCGCGCAAGGGTCAAGCACTGATCAAGATGTTGAAGCAGACGAATCAGCGGCTGGAGAATCGCACGCAGCTTGTCACCGCTTGCCATATGGGGCCGAAAGTGTTCATCAATTGTGCCGGTTTTATCAAGATCGATACGAACAGTCTGGGCGACAGTACCGAGGCGTACGTTGAAGTGCTGGACGGTTCGCGCGTGCATCCCGAGACTTACGAGTGGGCGAGAAAAATGGCGGTCGACGCGTTGGAGTACGACGACGAGGACGCCAATCCTGCTGGCGCACTGGAGGAGATACTCGAGTCGCCGGAACGTCTGAAGGATCTCGATCTCGATGCGTTCGCGGAGGAGCTCGAACGGCAGGGTTTCGGCAACAAGTGCGTCACTTTGTACGACATCAGGGCTGAGCTGAACAGCCGGTACAAGGATCTGCGCGTGCCGTATCAGTCGCCCAGCGCGGAGAAGCTGTTTGACGTTCTGACGAAGGAGACACCCGAAACGTTTTACATCGGCAAGCTGGTATTGGCCACTGTGGTCGGCATCGGTCACCGGAAGCCGCAGGGCGAGCAGCTCGATCAGGCGAATCCGGTGCGAAACGAGGAGACCGGCCTGTGGCAATGTCCGTTCTGCTTGAAAAACGACTTTCCCGAGCTGTCGGAGGTGTGGAATCACTTCGACGCTGGTTCCTGCCCGGGTAAAGCCACCGGTGTTAGACTGCGATTGGATAACGGTATATCCGGTTATATTCACATTAAGAATTTGTCCGATCGACACGTCGCCAATCCCAGCGAGAGAGTCGGCATGGGCCAGATCATTCATTGCCGCATTATCAAAATCGAGGTGGATCGGTTTAGCGTTGAGTGCACTAGCAAGAGCAGCGACCTCGCCGACAAGAATCATGAATGGAGGTGAGAGAGTTATATAGATAAATAGTGACTTTAGAAAAATAATGAATTAACACTAATCTAAAATATTTCTTTACACAACAGATTGTTTACTTAATTTGCCTTGCTAGAACTCCAACTTGATTTACAATTGTTTACCTTTCTTATCTTTTTTTTTCTATTTCTAATTCTCGCTTAGTTCTTTGTCTCCCTCCTCAATTTTTTTGTTCTCTTTGCATATCCTGCATCTTCTTCCTCTTTCTTCACTGCCACATTTTAGTCTTGCAAGCGTCTTGTTCCAGTAATTCTGTGACTATAATCCTACATCTTTTATTGTATTTTGATTCTTTTGAATCCTGTTAGACATTTTCTATCCGCACGTATCCGACTTGATTTGTTATAAATCATAATTATATATTTGCAGGCCGCAACGAGATCCATTTTACGATACCGAGACCGAGCAGAAAGACATAAAGACGGAGGAAGACGCGAAGAAGGCGAAGCAGCGGCAAATCTACGTTAAGCGCGTGATCGTCCATCCATCGTTCCATAACATCAGCTTCGCCGAGACCGTTAAGCTGATGCAAACGATGAAACAGGGTGAAGCAATAGTGAGACCGAGCAGCAAAGGCGCCGATCACTTGACAGTCACGTGGAAGGTTACCGATGACATCCTGCAGCACATCGATATCCGCGAGGAGGGCAAGGAGAACGCCTTTTCCTTAGGACAGAGTCTGTGGATCGGTAACGAGGAGTTCGAAGATTTGGACGAAATCATTGCTCGACATGTCAATCCTATGGCCGCTTACGCTTCCGAATTATTGGACTTTAAGTATTACAAGCCCTCTGTAGAGGGAATCAAGGACAAAGCTGAGGAGATATTGAAGGAGCAGAAGAAGGAAAACCCTGGTGGAATCCCCTATATAGTATCGGCGGCTAAGGTAACAAATGCAAGACGATTTTTAAACAATTTGTGTAGCGATTGTTCGAAAATCTTCGTTCTAACTTGATCTTATTTTTGTTTTGCTTCACAGAACTATCCCGGGAAGTTTCTGCTCTCATATTTGCCTCGCACTCGCTGCCGCCATGAATATGTCACGGTGACGTCGGAGGGCTTCAGATTCCGGGGACAGATGTTCAGCAGAGTGAGCGACTTGTTACGTTGGTTTAAGGAACATTTCAGAGATCCAGTTCCGGGACAATCTACTCCCAGCACGCCGCGCGGCGCGATGACTTCCAGGACACCTTATACGACACCGGGCGCAGTCAGTGGTAAGTCTATTGTAATGTAAAATAATTAGTATTCATTATCAGGATCTGTAATTTTTTTTTTTTTTTTTTTTTTTTTTTTTTTTTTTGGGGCCAAAAGGGCCCCCCAGGGGTGTGGAAATCTTCGAAAGACACCCCTCGGCAAGTACAGGCAAAGTCAGAGACAATGCTTGCCGAGGGGTAGTGTTGGATTCATCTTCCCAAACTTTCTAGTTCGGGAAGATGCCTACCAACTAAAACCACACCCCTGTTGCACGCTCCACGCACAGCCATAGTTGGAGGTAGCGAGGGATTACTCAGTCAGCATTATTTATAATGACAGACTGATCAGTGGTGAGAGGTTGCTCTTCTCCAGATATATACTTATATCTTACATATGAGGGTAAACGGACCCTCCCCCTTCCGTGTAAAGCGTCAGGGGGGTCCGCCTTACCCTTGGCCCACTCTCAGGACGCAGTCCCACTTCAGTCCCTCACAAGCCCAAAGAGCCCTAGCTCCCGGAAGGGCCTCATACCTACAGGAAATGGATCCTCACCGTTTGGCGGCAACGGGGATTCACCTCCTACACCTAACCCTCTGGATTCCCAGAAATCCAAGGTCACATGAGATGACCTTCAATCTCGCGTCCACTCCTGTAAGGAAGAGGATGGAGTGGATAAATAATTTCTCTCACCTCCTCTCCACCGCCGCCTCGAGGAGAAGTGGTGTGAGATGAGACTACCTAAGAGGAATCTGAATCCGATTTCGACGATCGGTCAGCTTCCCGCGTCTTCTTCCTGGTCGGTGAAGGGCTGGTAGAGTCCTCACTGGCGCTCTTATATGTGACAGTATCCACCGTCATGGCGGATGTACGAGAGGGGGAGTTGGCTTTTCTCTTACCTTCAAGGTCATCTAGTCTCCCGCGAAGACCCACAATCGACTCCCTGAACTCCCTTATCATCTCCGCAAGAGCCGGATCTGCTAAGGACGGGGGAGGACCGCGAGATGACCCCTGGGATTGGTCCGACCTGCCTGCGACCGCCCTGGGAGGTAATATTCTTCTCCGTTTCGGAGATCGCGCCATCACATCTTCGTCCTCCGTATCCACCTCCTGGATTGGCGTTGGAGTCCTCGACTCCTCGGCTGGTAACGAGCCAGGTACCGGTGATAGCGCTCTGACGCATTTCAGCGCGTAGTCCAATTTCTGGACCTTAGTCCGTAGTATTTTTACCTCAGCTTTGAGACCACTGTTTTCCGCCTCAAGTGAGGCAATCTTTTCCTTTAAAGGAACCATGTCAGGGTCCTCTGCCGCGGTAACTCGCTTCACCAGCTCCCGCGTCCCTATCTTGACAAGATGAACGTTAGCCTTGATGAGGCCACTAAAGGACCCCTTAATATTTTTGGCCTTTTTGCGTTCCACCTCTAATTTGTCTAGCCACTCAATAAGCATATCGCTGAGTTCATAAGGGCTAGCTTTACTCATCTGCAGCTTCTCATGATCGATCTTCTTCCGCTGATCGGCTGTGAAGCTAGGCGGGACATATCTCCTACGATGTGGTTCTTCGTCCGAGTCCGAGTTCGAGTCCCGGCTTCCGCGACTAGAACGCCGCGACCCCCTCGCCCCGCTCGGGGGGTTTCTTCCTCCAACATCGTTCTGGCGGCACCAAACGTTTTAGGGCGCTTAAAAGGGCCCATATCATCCAGCCTGGATCTACCTCTAGATCTCTTCAGGAAGGTCTTATTTAGTTCGCTGAGAGCCCCAGCATCCCCCTCAACAGAGTCCTCCGAGAGCGTATCCGGGTCTTCAGCCAACCGCGAGTCCTCTCTACCCTCTATTAGGGTAGATAAAGCCCTTGCTCCTTCAAGCGACGAGTGCGCCCCACCCCTAATTCCTTCAGGGGTGTGATCCTCCGGAACGGTCTGACTTACCTTGGTAGTAAGCTTGCCGTCCACCCAAAGTATCCCAACTTTGTCCAGTGTCTCTTTGGCCATTTTCTCTTTGTCTTTGCCTTTTCCTTTCTTCCCGAGTATCTCCAGGGAGGCCAAGAAGACCCAACAGGCGTCCCTAAATAAGGCATCAAACTCCGGCTTCATACCCGCATAACAGCTCTCAGTGTAACACATTACCTGAGTTGCCGCCTTCAAGATCCCAGCTTGCGTCACACCCAACTGCAGTGAACTATCCCACCTTTTGTTAGCCAGCAGGAAGTTGATCGCATCCACTCTATCCTGCTTCCTTAGGACATCTCCGTAACCAAGACTGTCCCCAAGTAGGATCATCACAGAGCACACGTCTCCCGTGTACTCCACCACACACGGTCTATAGAGCTGTCGGCTATGCTTTCTCTGAGCATCAGCCCACAGTCTGCTAATCGCGCCGATCGTACGTTCCACCGCGGAGCTCGGTGGCAACTCCGCGGCCAGCCCGTGGCACGATGACGACGAGGCGGCAGCCGGGACGATACTGCCGCCACGCCGACCCCTGGGAGTCCGATCTCCCTGGGATGGTAATAGAAAATCCTTTTTTAACATAATTTCATACCGTTGGTTTGTTGACAGTGTGTCCTTCACCGGGTTGTATTTCGGAGTTTTCCTTCTCCTAGGCCGACTGCCCGCACAGGGCTAACGAGCTCAGCCTGCCCGTTGGTGTGCTCTTAGATCCCGTACCCTCGCCCCGGGCCCTCCCGAAGGTAGAACCTTCGGTACTGCCGCCGGGGGTCCTTGGGACGGGGAGCTCTGGCACCACGACAAGGTGGCACACCACGCCAGAGAACCCAACTTAACTTCTTACATGAAAAAAATCAGAATTTTTAGTATCACACAAAATATAGATATATTTTAATAATAAAAAAATATTAAACTCTTAAAAGTAAAATAACAGATTGATACATTTGAAAAACATGAAAAAATTGTATTCTATTTTAGCGCAGTGAACATGTTAGGATTATGCAAACGGAAACACACTCTGCGATAAGAGATGTCTCTGTATTTTCAATTTCTTACTTTACCCACTAAAAGCGCTATATCCGTCAAAACAAGTCTGGCTTTCGGACTTTTATCGATCGTTTCCGACGATTTTGTTTCAGGTATGAACCAAGAGGCCATCCAGCGAGTCGCGCAGAATCTTCCGCACCATATGCTGCACTCGCTGTCGCAGGTGGCGAATCAAACGCCGCATCACTATCCGCCGCACACTCCGGGAGCAGCCGGCGCGGCCAATTACGGCGGCGTGCACACGTATCCGAACACGCCGTACACGCCATCCGGCCAAACTCCGTTCATGACCCCGTATCAGACGCCGCATCACACGCCGCATCACACGCCGCATCACGGCCAGCCCACACCTAGATACGGCCAGCAGACCCCCAGTCATCATCAGGGACCGTTTGTGCATCCGCCGCCGCCCTCGATGACCCCCAGTCATCACAGATCTACTCAGTCGCATAGACCTACGCCGCCCATGTCCACTCCTTCCGGCGATCCGACAGACTGGAAGAAGGCGGCCGAAGCGTGGGCACGACTGAAGAGCGGTCCCCGTGTCTCGTGAGTATCCTTGCCTTTCTCATTTTGCAATCCGATAGGATCGTCTCAATGAATTCCATCTCTCACTAATAAATTGAGTAAAGATTCTATGAAAAACTGTTGATTTGAGATGTTAATGCGAGTGTTGCCGACGAATTTATTTGAACGGTCGTATGTGCTTTCAGTGGATCAACGCCTAGGTACGATGAGTCAAGGAAAACTCCGCGTAATTACGACGAATCGATAGGCAGAACAACGCCCTCCGGAAGAAGCAGACCGTCCTCTACACGAACCCCATCGTACAAGTCTCCGCGCGGCACTCCGCACACGAATTCTAGTCCGCGGAGTATGTCCCTCAGCGGGGACGGTACTCCTTTGTACGACGAAAGCTAACGGAGTTACATGTGCATAGTCGATTATATTTATTAATTACGTGATATGTTGTGTGCGAGCAGCGAACGCGGGTTGACGAGCACCTGTTTCGGTGCTCGGTTATCGATGAAAGACAGGCGTCGTTGATTGCTCGCGTTCGAACGGATCGCTCAAGAGGGGAGAGCCCATTGATTGGCCGCCGTAAGCTGCGTCGTATCCGTACGATTTACAGCAATTCTAGTGCTATCACATCAGTGTGATCTATTTATTTTGTAGCGATTTCTTCCTACAGTGTACATAAAGTCTATGGGAAATCCGCTGAAGGCCTAGAAGCACGCCCGGCAATTTTCTTGACTCATTTTCACACACTTTGACGGCACCGATGGAAAGTATCGTAATTGCAAAAACCACAATTTTCTTTCAGAAGAATCATTTGTACGATCTTTTTCTTCTCAAATGCTCTTCGTTACAGTCGCACTATTGAATCGAGACGAAAAGGAACTACAATGAATTAGAGTTGCAATATTTTTTGAAACGTAATTGTAATCGAAGATGCTTGAGAATACAGTTACAATATTTTGCATCAATGCTATCGGCATATTAGATTGTAAAATACACACGGAGAACCGATTGCTCGAACTATTAATAATGTTAGCGGTACAGCCGCGGCTCTTAAGCGCGGCATTATGTATATTAAATAGTCTTTATATATAAAATTCCATATAGTATATCGTTTTAGGATATAGTCACATTTGTTTGAAATTACTTGAATAGCTTGCGTTTATTTAATCCTCATTTAAAAGAGCATCTTATCTTGTGTAAAAATGTGCAAAATCGCAAAAAAAAAAACTACTATTTTGTAATCTGCCTCAGTTATTTACAACCTTTATTCGAATATATATGTACCAACAAATTATGTATGTACCAACAAATTATATATGTTTCTTAAATACTTAGAACAGATGGTATTTCGTACATACAATTTATACAGTTGTTAAACAGTAATATGAAACACGAAAGCAATATATCTCAAATCTGTTGTTTTTTTCTTTGGCAATCCTACCTTTTGTTCCTCGTCTTTCATAAATATTTACAACGAGTTCTGTCCACACAAGAATATCTCTCTTTTAAGGCCACTTTAATCGACCAGTAACTTTTCAAAATAGTCAATTTAAAAACTTATATATGTCGATCCTAACATAAATCTTTTATTTAGCATATGAATAGAAAGTGTATAAAAGTCGACAGTAAAAAAAAAAAATATTTATAGTACTAACATTATAATGTTATATATAATATTTACGTTATGAAAGAAATTTTCTCCTATTGCAATATTTAATTCTTTATGCAATCCTCTAACCGTTGATTAAATTTAAAACATTGGAAAATGTGGCCCTTGGAAAATAAAACTTTCATATTACACTGTAATGCCACTTTATAACTTGTGCGATCCCGAATTCGTTAAAAAAAGAATATTGAAATTTTTGCCTACGACAATATCTTATAAAATACGAACAAAACATTTTATATTAAAGAATAATTTATAAACGCAAAATAAAAAAAATTATTTTCTTAAAATTATCAAAAATGTCAACAATGTAAATATTAATATAATGTGAAAACCTTTGCATGATTATCGTCCAAAATCGATATTTGATCCTCTGACAAAAAGTCTTCTGAAACTGGAACATCCTTATAATAAGCACAGGTCACATTGTTGCTGGCCTTTTTCGTTAATGAACAGTAAGTCGTATAGCTAAATAAATAAAGCAAATCATAATATAAATACCATAGCATTGCTTAAATTAGAAAAAAACGCATTGAATAAATGGAAATTACTTATTGTTAGGTTTAGTTGTGCCTTCGTGTGAGGTTGTGTTTTGCAATGAGTAGAAAGATGTTCGTCTTTTCAGCTGATCTTTCAAGGAGTCCGCATCTGCATAAACTTTCGGCTGCGAGTTGCACAAACGCTGCATAAAAAGAAATTGAATGTATAGTTTTTCTTGATGTAACAAAAAGAGAATAATTTAATTTTTATTTGAATCAATTTTACGTTACCTTATGCAGAGACCTTGCTTTCTCTTCTTCGCTATCAGTGGATGAAGAGATCAATCTTCTTTGTGCCCTCCGTCGTTTGATCGCGGATTTTTTCGAGTTGCCCGACTTTTTCGTGGTGCTCGTAGCTTTGATGTTAGGTAACTTGTTGGAAGATGGAGTTTTTTCAGTAATGATTGTTTAAGTCAATAATTTGTACATTTTTCGTTAATATATCATATTTAATGAAGAAATATTGGCTCGTGTAATAAGTAATTTCGTATATTCCCCAATAAATGTTTTTAAACAACATGCTTTTACATAACATGAAAAAGTCGTAACGAAAACAATAGATGGAACTCGATTGCAACTTCGACAAGCGAATATTTAATTTAATTGCGTTTTAATTCAACTTATCAAGAAATTATTTATTACACAAGTCAATATTATTATATCTATAATATAAGTCAAACTTACTTGCTTTTTATTTGTATCAGAATCCTCATTCGATTCGGACAGTTTCTGCTTATTCACACTTTGCATCTTCGATGCACTTTTGGACTCAACTTCCTGTTTTGTTTCTTTAACATTCTAGAAAGTAGAAAATATTTGAGTTAACAGGCAACTGCTATAAAATCATTAATGAAATATTTTGTAATTACAGCGATCTACCTACCAATGCTTTGTTCGAGTCGTTTTTCAGCGAAGCAAATGACGATTCTTGCAAACTGCGTTGCTTGACGTCCTCCTTGATAATCACGTCTGAATCGTGCGATTGTGCGGATTTTAAATCCGTGCTCTTACTTATTTTCAAATTCAGATTCATCGGTGTCAAACTGGTTATGAAAGGTTTGGACCTCTTCATTGCAACCTCGCTTTCCGATCTGATGAATTCTTTACGCAGTCCTCGAGGAGATTTTTCGACAAAATTACTATTGCTCTCACTATCGATCATAATGTCTTTGTCCAAATAACGTGGCATTGTGCTTGGTTTCTGCGTGTTGGTGTCTGTAGTAATGATATCGATGTCAGAATCGACATCGGTAATGTAATCGACATCGGAAATAATTTGCGAATATGCCTGCGGTTGTGGAAACTTCGCAGTTCCGCGCGAATTTTGTTCCTTTATAAAGGCATTTAGATAAACTTTTCGTGCATCAAATTGTTGCGTGCGCATTGCAGGTTTGTTTCCTTCGTGTATATCTGCATTGTTCCTAGGTGCCTCTTGATTGGTGAAAAAAGTGGTTCCGTGCGGTCTTTGATGCACAACTGTTTTGTGGCGTCTTCCTGCATTCGTCGCTTCATCGTGCGTACTTGTGCAAGGTTCGGAAAGTAAAGTTTCTTTGGCACTCGCGATTAGAATTGTCCTTTGAACAGATTCAGACTCGACTCCTCTCGCATTGTGCTGCGAATTCGCCGCATATTTCTGAGAAATTATTTTCTTTTTCACTTGACGCTTGTGCATTCTTTCTCTGTGTCTTAAGACTCGTTCAATCTGTATTTTTGGTATGCCCGAGTAAATCTCACTCTCTGATTTGTCCAAATTTTTGTAATTGTTGCGCTCCGGCTTAGTACTTGGATTCGACTGATGAGCAGTGATAGAGTCATTTTTTACGCTTTCGTATCCCAGATCGCTAGAATGCATGTAGTTTTTCGGTTCCATCGTTCGGTTTTCAATCTTGTTAGTGTCTACACAATTGCTATCGAGCATGGCGGTCTGCTGTGGCGGAGTCTGTTCCGACTTGGAAGCATGTTGTCTTGCGAGAACCATCGGGCTGTAACTGCATTCTGGCGATTCATAAGACGCTATGTAATTCAAACAATCAAACATCTCGACAATCTTATCAATATATGCCTGAGAACAATTCTTATCTATCAAATTATTGATAATAATATTCAGTTTATCCTCCTGAATGTAGTCCTTCAATCTGGTCGTTTTCCTGGAAGAGTGCGATGTATTTACGTTCGGTTTAAAATTCTGTTCACTATCTTCGTTATATGCTAAGCTCGTTTGTGCAACAGGTGCTTCGTTTTCTGACTCGGGAATAAAAGACTTTATGAACAAAGCACTTTTCTTATAACTTTGAGAACTGTATTTCAAGCAATTATATTTTTCCTTCTTTTTTGGAAACTTATTACTTGAATATTCAGACTGGATACATTCAGCTAATCTGTAAGACTTTGTTCTGGAAGCAACTCCATCATTTTTCGCGCATGTGTAAGTCAGATCTGTCATTTCACTCTTCAAGTCGTCATCGCTATCGGTAATAGAAGTAGGCCAATGAAATGTTATCGGACATCCCTGGTTAACGTATGTTCTCCATAGCAGATAAACATTTTCCCAGTCATCGGGAAAGCCGTTGTAAAATTTTCCGCGTACATAATTTGGCAAATCTGCGTGAGAGTGACAAGTGATTAATGTGTCAAATGGATTAATATGTCGATAAAATGGATTTTACTCAATTACCATTTGTTTCGTCAAAAATATTCCCTTCAAGATGATATTTATATTTGAATTTCGATTCAATACATGTTGCGGTATATCTTCTTGATATAGGCTTGCTGTGTGAAATTTTTCCGCTATTGAAAAAAATAAAATATTAATCAATATAATGAAAAAAATATTAAAAATTCAAAGAAGTTAATTAACGATGTCTACATTTTGTCTACTTACCATTCCAACGTTCCTTTAATTATTAATTCATATTGATTGTTCAACATAACTTTCCATTTTGAAAACACTCTTTGAACCTTTTGTATAACATTGGTGGAAATCCTTGATGAAATATAAGATTGTGGATAATCTTTGCTAATATTTGTATTAGCGGATACAGAGCTGGAGGCGCACTTCATGGAAAGAGTATTTGGTAGAGAAAATTGTGCATAACTGTCCTGCACAGTCGATGCTGCTTTTTTATCATTTGACGACATACGAATCCTGTCTTGTGTTTTTCCATGTGTATGATAAATTGTACTTCCTACCGGAGGTGGCATAAGAAGATGATCAAATTTATCTTTATTAACGTTGCACTGTTTGTCACTGGATGTAGCCATTATGTTTTCATTATTAGTGTTGTAATGCTTCTTCTTCAAGGGTATGTTTCTGAGAATATTACTGTAAGATAAAATCTCACTCTCGGATGAAAAAATATGTGATATTCTAGAATTCAAAAATGAATTTAAATAATTGATATCCAAAGTATCCTCTTTAATACTAGAAATGTTCGACCAGGTTGTTACAGAGGACATTAGCTTGTTATCTAGATTCTTGTTGTGCTTTTTCAACAGAGTTGATTTTAAACATAGCAGTTTCTTGAATTGTTCATCTGTCTCAAGCACCTGAAATGTAGTCTACAATAAAAATAAATTATGTGTAATTCATAGGCTTATACAATTGCGATAATTTTCAAATAACACAAATTATTGCATTTTTTATTATTTGAATCAAGATACACAGTCGTACCAAGTTAAAAATACCTCAGACTGAATACACTGGTTCATAGAGGTTATGATTTTTGTTTACAACAAGTACAATTTTGTTTGATAATTTTACCTTGAAACATTGTGAAAAATGAAAAAAAGTTGTAATCAGTTACAACAATGCAATGATATAAATATATAGTTGCAAGTTTTTAAAATTTCTTCACTTTTATCTCTCTCTCTTCGATACTTGTAACGTAAGTACGTTTCTAATCAAAAGCAGTTATTTCAAATAGTTCCAAATCTTAAGGTACGTACACAATGTCAAAAATAGATTTACATTTCTTAAGCCTTGTGTCCACGATGCAAGAACTCAATCCGAGATCTCGGTCCGAGTCCTCGAACAATAATATTTATACTTGGCTGAATATAGTTAGCGTTGTAATCGAGTTACGATTCTTTACGATGATTTTCTGATCTATGTTATATTGCCAAGTTGGTTTATAGATATCATCAAGTGATGCACTGCTTGATTTCGAATGTTTTATTTTATTTAGATGGTCCAGATATTGTGATCTTAAATTATTAATTTTTTTTGTCAATTTTAGTTGTTAGTGGTTGTCCTGTTAATTCTTTGTACTGATTACAGATTATCTGTAAAGCTTGATCTCGTTTTATACAATTATGATAATCAACACTTTTTGTAACATATAAACAAGAATGTTGTTGATATAACATTAATAAAATTTTAACATTTTCCTTATTATCCATTTTTTATTATAAAAGAAGTTTTTTCTGAAAATCAATTTTATATATTATTATACTTTTCTTGAAAAATAATATGTATATATAGGTTATAATATATTTTTAATGTCTAATTTAATCTGCATTAAAACTAATAATAACTACTTATGTAAATCTTATTAATTAATTTATTTAAGAATTATATTTCTCTTATTTTTCAATTCTATAATTACTTACTAAAATATAATTTATATTGTTCACAGTATCTCGTATCACTATAAGTATCTTATATTTTGTCTTGACAGATAGTAAAAGAAACTAGTAAAATCTAATAACTCGTAATAACTCGTACCGAAAATGGGACGCAACGCATTTTCGTTTGAGCTTCTTATTCGAGTTTTGCATCCAAATGCAGTGTGTACATGATCCGAGTTCTAGTAACTTTCCCTCGGTCCGAGATCTCGGACCGAGTTCTAGTATCGTGGACACAAGGCTTTAGAGACTAATAATTATTTTGATATTTTCGTAGAATTGAGGCAATCGAAACTTTAATTATGTCATTTATATTATACTCGTTATTGTGTGCATTGTGAAACATTGATATTAATTTTTTGCAGGTCTATTTTAAAGATTGTCAGAGGGTGTTTACGATAATTCAAGTTCGAGTTAGTTTTACTAGGACCGAAAAATGAGATAGACATAACCATCTAGAATCTTTATGATTTATGACAACTCGACGCTGTCTTGTATTGCTTGAGTTAAATTAATTGAATTTGTTGAGTTTAATAAATATAATTATATACATATATATATAATTATATCTATTAAAGAGGTATACCAACATACATACCAACATTATTTGTTTCTTTCATAGACTGATTTGCAGTTGACATTTTTTTATTACAATAAAATTTGCTCTATAAACACCCTTAGGGTGTTTACGATAATTCAAGTTCGAGTTATAGCGTTTTCGATTATACAGGATTTGAACGACCCAGGGTTGGTTAATGACGTCATTGCAACCTCTCCACCAATGAAAGACTTGCATTTATAGTAAAATAGTGATTGATCAACCCTGGGTCGTTCAAATCCTGTATAATC